TCTCTCTCTCTCTCTCTCTCTCTCTCTCTCTCGATCGCAACTCGATGACGCGATGATTATGGTGTGGGGAGTTTCGCTTTTGTCTTTTTTTGCTGCTTGCGGCTATTGAGGAAGAGCCGGGCGGCTTGTAGGATTGGGGGCGGGAATGGTGGCGCTGGCGAGTGCCGATGTATACTTTTGAAATGACATTGGGGTTCTCTTTGATGCCTTGAGCTGTTTGTGGGTAGGAATGGTGTTGTGGGGATGGATTGTTGGTGCTGCTGACTTTTGTGTACGCTTGTCTAGTTTCCATGTGTATGCGATGATGGTGGACGGATTTCGTTACGTGCAGTACAAGGCATGAACGCTTTTACGGTCAAGAGGTTCGCCGTCCTGCGAGATAGTGCCTTCAACGCCTTGTCTTAGAGATTGCGCACGTCCTCTTGGTTTCGGAAATTTAGTAGCACTATCTTGATATTTTAGTTTCCTTGTAAAAGTATACAAGTGATCCATATGGGATACTTCTTGTATAACTGGAAGCCTGGGCTCTGAATATAAATTAGGAAGTTTTGGAGCGCATGCAACCTATAATCACCTTGGTTGGGTTTTACTTTCCATCCGTATATGCGTGATCATGTCGCGGGATATTGCTGTTCTTGGCTGCCGATGGTAGACGCCCTCGCGGGATTGGACGGACTTACATGCCAGTCGCTTATCTGGCCCTCTAACTAAACGAGTGCTAGTATTTCCCTCGGACGGTTAACCACAGCAAAATTCAGCGCAGAACTGGTGGAACGCCATCTTCCAGTCTATCCCGTTCCAGTTTGCCATCATACTTACTATACTGCCGTCCCATCACCACGACTTTGAACACCTGGTACATAATGTTTTAAGTCAAAATAAATCTCATCAAATAGGCAAGGTGGCCGAGTTGGTTATGGCGCCAGGTTAAGGTTATCTTAACGCTAATTCCTGGTGGGGCAACCCGCGCGAGTTCGAGTCTCGTCCTTGTCATTATTTTTGCCCTCTGAAGATTGGTGGGATGGTGTTGGTGAGGGGGAGGCAGAGCTGAATTTTTGGGTGTGCGTGGCCTGTGCGGAACGGTCAGCTGCAGAGAAACAAAAACAAAGAGTTTTTGGGGGAGCAACTCCATGAGCTCTGACCAACGACTGTGCGACTGGCACTCTCTGAGCGTTTCTGCCCTCCAGGAATGTGTTTTTGCATGGATGAAACGACGGCACGGACTGGGCTTGATCAAGGCTACATGTCAGGTCACGTGCTAGACTTTGTTATGGTCGCATTCCATCGACTGCATCTCAGCAAGTTGAAGCTTTGAAGTGCCGATTGACAGTCCCGTCTGAATGGCCCGCAAGATCTTTAGACAACACCCCAGTCAATGCAAGTGGGACTCGCTTCGCTACGTCACTGCCCCTGTTGCGACTCTTCACTGTTACATGGAGCGTTGGACGCTTTGGCGGCAGAAGAGCCGGTTGAAGACCACCATTCAACGAACATCTCGGCTTTCGGGTTACCCAATGCTTATCATCCCCAGTTGTGGCGATGTACGAGTCAGCCAGTGAGTTCGGGATATTGAATCCCGAGGGCAAGTCCTTCCCGACCCCAGATGCTTACCCCAGGTCCTGCGGGGAAGTACTGGGGCTCGTCGGCGGAGCCCTCGCCAACAACTTTCCCGAGGATGTAGAACGACTTGGCGACGGTCCCTGGCCGTCGTGTTTGATATCTGCTGCTGATTCTCGTCCGTCTTTCTCCTTCCCCTTCTTGTTGCTGTATACCCGTGAGCAAGCATCATGTTTGGAACGGAATTGAGAGGGAAATGGCTGGCGTGGGCCATCACCGGTGATTACCGGCTTTCGGTCCCGAAATACAGGCATTGTACTAATGGACGCCACAGCCGCTTCTTGTCAAGGCTTCTTGCTCTTGGGTTATGATCAGTGAGTTTGAGTTGGATGACTATCGATGGATCCCTCCGCTAACATTGCTCTTCCAGAGGGCTCATGAGTGGCATCATCGGCGCAGACAACCAGTTTGGCCGGGACTTTAACTCTCCCGATGCGAATATGCAAGGCATTATCACTTCGATTTACGATGTAAGTCTACGGCACCATAAGATTGTTTGCATGGTTACTGACCATAACAGATTGGCTGTGCAGCCGGCTCCTTGTTCTCGTTCTTCTTTGCTGAGCACTACGGGAGGAAGAAGATGATCATCGCCGGAGGAACCGTAATGATCCTTGGCACCATCATATTAACCAGTTCGACAACCATTGCTCAGCTGTTGGTAGGGCGGATTGTGACAGGCATCGTAAGTATCTGTCCCATATGTGACAGCGTGTCCTAATAGTCAGCAGGGTAACGGGTTCAATTCCTCGAACATTCCATCCTACCAATCCGAACTTTGCAAACCAAAGAACCGCGGAAAGCTCCTCAGCGCCCAAGGAACCGTCACCATCGTTGGTCTTTGCATTGCCTATTGGGTTGACTTTGGTCTATCCTACGTAGACGGGCCTGTCCAATGGAGGTTCCCGGTCGCGTTCCAGGCGTTCTTCGCAATCTTCCTCGTCCTCCAAATGCTACCCCTTCCGGAGACACCCAGATTCCTGATCGAGAAAGACCGTACCGCCGAAGCCGCACAAGTTTTAGCCCGCTTAGATGATACAACTATTCAGGACGAAGAAGTGCTCGAGGTGGTACAGACTATTCAAGTTTCCATCGAAAAAGAGAACCAAGGTGGCCCGTTCCAATACAAGGAGCTCTTGCAAGGCGGACCCACTGGAAACTTCCGCCGTATACTCATTTGTATGGCCGTGAACGTAATGCAACAATGGACGGGCTCGAACTTCATAAACTACTATGCGCCAATGGTCTACCAGGAGAATATGGGTGTTGGTCGAACTTTGTCGTTGATTTTGGGTGGATGTACTTCACTGACCTACCTCGTCGGCAGCTTTATCCCTCTATGGGTAAGTCCTTCGACTTGAACATCTTTCTACCGTTGCTAACCAAAAAAAAGACCGTTGACAGGTTCGGGCGCCGCGCGCTCCTTATGACCTCGGCCGCCGGCCTATGTTTCTGCTTCTCCATGGCCTCGATCTTGCTGAGCGTCGGCGGCCAGTCATGCGCCTACGGCGCCACAGCCATGGTCTTCCTCTTCCAGATCTTCCTTGGCTTCGGGTGGCTGCCAATTCCATGGTTCTATCCTAGCGAAATAACTACGACCCGCATCCGAAGCAAGGGCCAAGCGATAGGCAGCTTCATCAACTGGATGTGCGTCTTCGCCGTCGTGCAGATCACGCCCATCGCCACCGAGAACATCAAATGGCGGACGTTTGTCATCTTCGCCGTTTTCTGCTTCCTCTGGATCCCGATCGTCTATCTTTTCTTCCCTGAGACGAGCGGGTTGGAGCTGGAAGATCTAGACTACTTGTTCCAGAAGGGCGGGCTTACGGGAGGCGTGTGGAGCTCTAAAGGCGGCCGTACGGTTATGAAGCGCACGGGGAGAGAGGAGGCTGGCGTCGAGGGTGGGTTTAAGGATCCCGATCGTGCGGTGTCGGAGATCAGAGAGGAGGACACGAAAACCTAAGATGGTAGATGGCGCTGAATATTGTCGGGTACTTATCTATAGAGGCGAATCATGATTATATTCAAGATCGTGGGGGTAGAAGTTGTCACAATATGCATACCTTCGTGAAGTACACATCTGACTACGAATGCATGTTCTAAACTTATCTGAAAAGTAACCTGTAGGGAGCGCTTTGTGCCATTACAAGGGTATGTAGATATGAATAGGCAGTGTTGAGAATCTGTACCAAGATGACTTGGTTTGCTAATGCTTCTACAAAGAACTCTTCGCCGTAGGGATACGAATCACATGGTAGTGTTTAAACAAGCTAAAATTCGGACCATCCTGAAATACTTTCGCTTCTATGAAGCAATACTCGTCACAAGGATACGAATAACAGTGTACACTTATGCAGTGGAGTGGAGCGTGATTACCGAAGGATATTTTTGATATCCGTAGCAGCAATATCATCAATTCGAAAATTAACCTACGCCCCTCAAACTTCTGTACCTATGAGATCTCTGATCGAGTAGTAACTTTCGAAAGGCCAGAAGATCCTGTGTAGGCTGACTTTAACTTTATGGTTAGGGGTTACTATTGCGAGGGCAACCGTTTTGGGACTTGTAATAGCCAGTAGAAAGAATTTCCCAAAAAATTTGAAATCCGTGTTCAATTATTATTGAAAGAATAATAGTTACGAATCAGTAGCACAAATCTCTTAAATCTTTTACAATACTCGATTTTATCGGACACTTCTGAATTTTGCCTATTAAGATCCGCTAGAACAATATGGACGAAAACAACATGTGTAATCCCAAAGCAAATGAACGTTCAAAGAAACTGGCCGTTAAAGTCAACACCACTAAGTCAACGCCACTACAAACGAAGGATATTCCATCTTCTTCCATCTCCATTTCAATTCATCTTTTTCTTCCCGACAATGATCGTAGCCTCCCAATCAAGCACAATCTCACCCTCTCCAAACACCTCTTCCAGACGCTTCACAAGTGCCGCTTCCACCAATCCCCCATATTTCTCCCTCTGCTCCTCATTCCAAAACGTAGCCGTGATCATTTTGAGCATGGGAACATAGACCTCGCAGTACTTCTTCGCGCTCTCATGCCTCGTGTGGGACTTCACCCTAGTAGTTTGGACATCCTCAAAGCCGTGGCTGCGGATTTGCTCCACCATGAACGAGGTCAAGTGCCACTTGCGCGGCCCAGTGTCCTCCTCGGAAACAAAGGCGTTGCAGAACTCGGGCCAGGTTGGGAAGTGTGGGGGTGAGGGCAGGCTTCTCACGGCCTCGGCAGTGTATTCGAACCAACCAGTAGACTCCCAGACCGTCAGGGCAAGGGTCCCTCCAGGGCGGAGGATACGATTTTGCTCTGTTTAGAAGGATCGTTAGCGTTTAGCCATGGAAACATAAAGCCTTGGGATGGACAAACCATCGAGAGCGGTGTGTGGTTTCTTCAAGCCGACAAACCCAAAGTTCGTGAGGACGTGCGTGAAATGATTGGATGGGAGTTTGGTGTCCTTTTTCTGTCAGTGCTGACCAACATTCGAAGTGGTAGAGCTCAAAGGGGGAAAATACATGGGTATCAACAATTTGAGTCTTAGCGCCCTTCCATCCATATTCCTTGATTCTCTGCTCCACTGTAGCAAGCATGGGAGCAGAGATGTCGCCGCAAAGCAGCTCCAGGTTGTCTTTGGCGTCGTTAGGGAGAACGTCATAGAGATGTAATGAGACTATGGCTGTGCCGCAAGCATTGTCAAGGACAACGAGTTGCTCATCGTGGCCAACCTTGTCAAAGCCTGCCTGTAGCGTAAGGGCGCGAGCGTAGTGGCTAGTGATGTTTTCCGCCTCTTTGCGGTAGCACTCAACAGCTTTCGGGTCGTTCCAGTCCATTTTTAGTCCCGGTGTGGTGAAAATTGTTCGATAAAAAGATGGTCTTAGGAATGTCGATCTTGGTAGTCTTCTCAGAGGTTGCAACAAGCTTGTCATGTCTCTCCTAACTGCTGGCAAGCCTCGCGGTCTTTATAGTCTGCGTGCAGCACTTTCGGAGATTTATGTTAGCCCCTGCCCAGTACATATGGAGACATCAGGAAGGCGGGGGATTTTGGGAAGATCAACGATACAATGACTGTAACTGTCAAGTATCTACACGCAGTCACGGTTTATTGGGTGACGCTTCTCAAAAAAGTCTCCGGCAGGATTTCAAATGTCTCCGGGGGCCAATATGACGCGTCAGTGTCCCAGGACGTCCATCATCTATTCGTAGGGGCCAAAGCGTTTATCACATGCTTGCGTCTTTTTTGGGGTTAGTGGGTAATCGCCATAGCGTTGTTGATGGCTTTCAGACATCGTAAGAAAGTATTGCTACAGACTGAGTATATTCTACAAAGCAAACTCTAGAAAGCGGGCGGGCCCGGGTTGCCTCTCGCCCTTGCCATCAGCAGGCAGTCTCTAATTGTCATCCTCATCCTTAACGGGGCGGTCCATGCCAGTCATTCCAGCCTAAGCTTCCACCGCAGCCGCTTCCGCCTCCTCTGCAGCGGCTTTCTTCTCCTTCAGAGCCGCCCTCGCCGCCTCCAAAGCCGCCTCCATATTCTCCACATCCTCCTCTGCCTTCAAGGCCTCGAAGCGCAACATCGCCGCCCGTATCACGAGATCCCTCGCCACACCTGCCTCCGTGGGGGCGGGAGGGGCCTGCTCAACAGCAGCAACCCTCATAGCAGCATTGTTGCGCCTTCTGCGTCGTGCCTGCGTCTCTGTCTCCCCATAATGCGGGCGAACACCACCACCACGCACACCGAGTATGCCGCCATGCCCGCCACCGCCGTATCCACCTCCGCCGTATCCGCCACGGCTGTATCCACCACGACCATATCCGCCATGGCCGTATCCACCGCCGCCGCGTCCACCACGCCATCCGCCACCGCCACCGCGCCCGCCGGGGTTGTTGTTGTTGTTGTTGTTGGCTGCGGCCTATGAAATATGTCAGTGCAATGTTCCATCGAGTGATAGTGTTGAATGGCAAAAGGCACGAGTGGAGAAAGGCCAAATGCACAGGGTACCATGAACTTACAAAGCCGTAACCGCCGAAGTTGTTCGAATTGAATGACACTGTAAACGATAACGTCAGTGTATGATCGCGACATCAAGATTTGTTTGCGATGCGAGAGCGTGAGGGTGAAGAAGGTGAAGAGCGTGAAGAGCGTGAGATGCATGAGACATGGAAAGCAAGAAGTGAGGTTTGTGAAAGTGAAATGCGTGACCGTGAACAAGAAGATGAGCGCAAGCGTAAGCGAGAGCGTGAATCAAGACAGGACACAAGAACATGAAAGGCAGCCCGGAAAAAGAAGCAAGAAAGCGAACAGTGAAGGAAAGGACAAACATACTGTTGGCGGTAATTGTGTGAAGAAGAAAAGAAAGAGAAGGAGAGGAAGAAAATAAGAATCCATATAGGACCTGGGCACTGACGCCTCGCTTAGCTTTGGGAAGGTGCGCTGCTGGGGGCACGTAGGTGTGACTGCCTGTTTGGGAAGTTGAGCTCGGTGCGGGTGCGGGCCGGAGACGGGGGTTTCGGGGCCGGAGACCGGAAGTGAACAAGGAGGCGTGATTTGCTGTGCTTGTGTGCCATGTCTTGGTCTTGTTACAGATATATCGCATAGAATTATCTTGAAAAGGAACAATGAACTTAGCTAAAGGATCCATAATGTAAATAGCGAAGCCTATTGAGCACTTGTCCACTTATGACTTTTTGTTTAGACATACGAAGAGCATCCTGGTACTAAAGTACGCAGAAAACTTTGCCATTTACTTTCTGTTGTCCATCTTTACCTTCACCTTATTGTCGCTTCCGTTTCTGCTGCCGTATTCATGCGGTCACAAAAATGCGTCACAACACAGCATAACTGAGCAAACGCAACTGTGACGTCGAGACGGAACAAGATGATGCGCAACGCAAAAAGATGGACGAGAAGTCCGCCGTGTCATGCGGTCGGGATGCAGCAGTTCGTGGCAAACGCGGAGCACGTCGGCACGCGCGGGAGAAAGAGAGCGGTCGGTTGGCTGAGCTTGCCTTGCTTTGCCTGCATTGCTAGGTCGGCATGCCGTCTACGCCGTTCATGCCGCCCATGCTACTGCTGCGCAGCACGAGCTGCCTCTCCGCTCTAATCTGTGCTCGCGCGGCGACGTGCATATCGGGTCCTGGTGCAGCGGGTACGGCATAGGTAGTACAGCACAAAATGGGGTGCCATGCACGCTGTAGAAAAACAAAATAGTGGCGTGGTGTTGTGCGACAGTGCTAGACGTGAACTTGAAAGGGGCGTGTGCATGGGTATACAATAGATATAGGTGAATTTGATCACCAATATCGAAAGCCGTCTTCGTGGTTAGTTGGATAAGCCTATCTATACCATTGAGCTTTTGCCACATATTCCGTAGGTAACGTCCGCGTGTCGTCCTCGTCGCTGTCGCCATCTCGCTAGGGCTCCATCCCGCCCCGCCCCGCTCCGCCCGCAGCGGAAGGTCAATAATCTCTTCAAGCCTCGACGAATGCTTACCATATCATACTCCATGAATCAACTCAGGCCTCAAGAAAGGAATCGAGTACGCCTTATTTAAGCGTTTTTGTCTCTGGATTCTGCCATTCATGCGACTGCACGAACAGCTCCGGGGGGAGTCGCGGTAGTAGTTTCTTGACAGCGTCAAGAAAATTCTCATACAGCTGCCAGGCGCTCTTTCGGGTTGGCTTGAGAGGGCTTTGTTTGGTTGACATCTGGCGTTTGCGAGAGGGCTGAGGAGTCCTACAACTCCGCGCGCGGAAGGCAAACGCGTTCATTTCAAACACTCCTTATGCTTGCGTGAGGTCAAGAGTCGTGCGCATCGGAGCATTGCTAAAAGAAGATGGAAATTACCGCGGAGAATATCCACAAAATGGTCTGAGTTGAATTGTTGAGGAGAGGATGCTATGAACACAGGCGCGAAAGATGGTCGCGGAGCTGATTAAGTTTCCACACTAACCAAATCAGGCATTGAGCACCACGACAAACTATCCTACGGCTGATAACCAATAAAAGAAATCCAACTATGACAAACATAATTCGTTAAGGCGCAGTAATCAAAGGCCACTATCTTGCTTTGGCCACACATTGCTGCTGCTCTTGGTGTAATCATCCCACTTGTTACAGGTGGATTGGAAGTCCCCGGGGAGGCTGATTGAGGATTTGCTCTCTAAAAACTGTACACCGAGACCTTCGCTGATGTGCCAAGACTATGAGTCATCAGTGACCTTTGCATCCCGACAAAATTGAATGGTAAACTTACAATGTGGCAGTGCATCAGCCACGCACCCGGGTTGTCCGTGATGAATGCTATGGCCACCCACCCGCCAGCGGGCAACAGGATGACGTCTCTTCGCGTCGGATTGGTCCAGCGAAACGTAGAGGGACTACTGTTTACGTCGAATTGTCCACCCGATTTTGCGAGCACCAGGAAATCATGCCCTACCATAGAATAAGTAAATGTTCGCCCACAGTAGGATTAGGGGGAGGCCCGTACCGTGCAAGTGTATAGGATGAGGGATATTCGCCTTCCCTCCTTGGACCTCTTGAATAATCCAGTATGTCCAGATGCCTTGTTGTGGGATCTCGATAAGGTTGTAGGTCTGGGGAAAATCGCTCTTCCCGTCAGCGACTAACTGCAACGTAGGCTGTTCCCAAGCAATGTCAATAGCTGTAAGATTGACCCCCCAGAATACTACGTTTTTATTGTTAGTCGTGACGTTGGCGACGGTTAAGTCCACGTCGAGTGATTTGACTTGGTCGAGGAACGTATCACTCGGCACGTTGTTTGGTGCAAACGGTGTCGGTAAAGGCTCATTACAATCGCCAGGCTGGGAACCTCCCGTACTAGTAGGGTCTCCTGATGGTGCGCCAGAGTAACTAAAGATTCCTGCAAAGAAAAGTTAATAAAAGTTCGAAATTCATGGAAGCACATTCAGACCTCGACCATAGCCGTTATTCGCACTCGCACATCCCGTTGCTACTTCAGCACGAAACCAGTAGTTGCCAACAGTCTGGTTGGCGGTGATAATAACGTCGTAGCGCTGCCCGACGGCCATGAGCAGCCAGTTGGTAGTAAAGGGAACGACGCTGACGAAGTCATTGTTAATCACATTAAAGGGATGGTTGTCCAACGAGACGTAGATGTTGTTGTCGACGGATGTGTTGATCAGCCGCAGACGGTACTTCTTTCCCTTGGTCATCTGGACGGAGCTATATTTTCCGCCGCTCGAGCTCTTGGCCGTGCCGTTGACGAGAATATTGTCGCCTCCCGGGCCGGGTCCACCTCTCTGGAGGGCAGCATTGAAGGCGTCTTCGATCTGGAAAGCAGTGTTGTAGTACCAGTCAGTGATGGGGTAGGCTCCAAGATCGTAATCATAGTTAGCCGAGGCAGGACCGTTGATGATCAGCTGACCGACGGCACCATCGCCATACTGCGTGCTGAAGTGAGAGTGGAACCAACTGGTGCCAAACTGGGTTGCCTTGAAAGTGTACGTCTTTGTGTCACCGGGTGCCAAAGGGCCTGTCACTTGTCAGCGCACCATAAGGGTGAAATTGTATCAGGGTGAACTTACATTCAGTGATGCCACCTACGCCGTCATAGCCGTTGGTGTTTAGCTGACGCACACCGTGCCAGTGTACGCCAGTGCCGTTGGACTGCATCGAGTTTTTGACCGTGACCGAAATAGTATCACCCCAGTCTGTAACGGTTAGAACAATAAAAACACTTATTACGGCCTAGGAAAACCTACTGGCAACAATGGTTGGTCCAGGATATTGGTTGTTGAAAAGCAAACACACCCGATCCCCGTGACCGTCCGGGTTACATGTGGTATTGGTAATTTCGAGAGATGCCGTGACCGTCTTTCCCGTATCAGGCCATTTTGCGTCAAAGTCGGTGGCGATCGAAAACCCAGGAGCCCAACATGACCTGCTGAGAGGCCCGTTGGTGCAAGCGGGATCAGCGACTCTGGAAGTTGTTGTTGCCGCTTGTCGTTTGACCATCAGATCACCAGGAGGACCTTTCTCTCCCCACAATATGTGGTCCGCTGGGATTTCGCCGGCAGAGGTAAGCGCTGAGAATGCCCAAAGGCACGCGCTAACCCACTCTACAGCACGCATTGTGGGTGGAAGACGGATCGAGGAAAAGAATGGCAAAGGCAGAGTCGTAAAAGAAATGCTCGAGTTCACAAAGCAAAGGGCGATGCACTGGAAATCAAATGCAGGGGAGCTACCACCATATATACTTACAATTCAAGGTCAACGATGCAAAGGCAACAGGCATTTGCTAGCGTGCAGTTCCTCGCATGGGCGAAAGACCTGAGCCGCAGCGCCCCTTCAGCTCCCTGGGGCTAAACTTGGATCAGTGCTTCCAGGCCACGCTAGGGCCGCGGACCGGTTCTCGTGGCGCTCAGGTGGGCTGCTGTCGGCGGAGACATGCTGTCATATGCCGATTATTCGGGAAGTCTGCGACGCTGAGTGGCTTGCCACAGGTAACTTCACGTCGAACCGGCATCGGCATACTATCATTGAAAGCCCAACCCGGTAATACTGCCGATGATTTGGCGCGCGAGAAAGGAAAAGTCTAAAAGCGAATGCACTTTGTTCCCTAGCACAAAATCCCGTATAGCTCGCATGGCTGATGGAGCACTGGTCGCGCGTAATACGCGTCAAAAATGTACAGCGTCGGCCAAGGTACGCGGTGACATGTGGTTGGATGCCTTTGCAGAGCGATCATGTACTGCAATCTCAAGCATCCAGGCACACAAACACATGCACGTGCGTCCCCAAGGGCGAGCTCTGTTGAGGCAATGGTGCAGATACCTGCTGACCGGCTGCTGTCCCACCCCGCCGAAATGAGGGTACGACTGGGTGCCGCCAAGGGCAGGCTGAGATGTCTGGACTGCGGCGGCTTGCAAACACGAGCGGCTAGGTTCGACAAAAGAGTGGAGTGGCAATGAGGCTAGAGGTGTGGAGTTGGGGCTTGGGGACTGAGGTTGAGGTCTTCGCTAGCGCGCCCTACGTACGCGAGCCGCCAGGCCGCGCGGGGTCCCCTCGTCCTTCCACGCTTCTTGCAACTCCACGCCCACTCGATCTCCGCCACGCCCCAGCCTTAGCGACTGCACGTCGTACGAAGGCGAAAACGACGCCTGATGAGTCGGCGTTTGCAAGCAAAATATGCCCGTGGCATAGCACGACATGAGCCGCGCACGTGAAGGCGGGGGTTGATTGCTAAAAGTAGCAGCGTCACACTAGCTTTGGTGGCTTCTGGATCCCCACGTCCAACTCCGACGACGACGACTCCCGTCAGCCACTCGGAGCTTTCCCGTCGATCGCCTAGACTCTCGCTAACATCCGTCATCATTAAGCGATATTCGCTTGTATGGAGAAGAAGAAGAAGAAGAAATTCAGTAAAGTTGTTGGTAGTATGTGTGTGCTGAAGACCTTTTTACTCACATCCAGGATTTAGGCTTGCAGCCAGACAAGGAGATTCCCTAGGGACTGCTTGTATCCTTCCCTGTCTCGCTAGACGGCGAATCTCGGTTGACGGTGACGGACGTTACGTTACTACATGCACGGCGCGGGAGTCCCTGCCCATCATCGCTTATTAACCAACTCTCTTCTCTCCCGCTACTGCGTCTCGCGGCTTGTAGACTCCGCCCGTTCCGGTAGGCCAACATCTTGACGCAAGACAACTGATCATCTCAGACTAGGGCAGGGAAGGCACTGTCGTATTCGCCCCCAGTTGTCACCGCATGCCGAATCCTCACTGTCGTGCCAGCTTTCTGGAAATGTTCGCAGCTGGACGGACTGTTCGAGACATCCTTACGGAGGCTGAGACTCGGCAGGGCAGTTGTTGACGACGACTCAGCCTCTCGGGCCGCCCAGGCATCAGCACAACCCGTAGGACGTACAACTCAATAGCTGCATGACACCATAGCCGGACCGGGCGTAGTGTCGTGTTCGCTTCCAACGTCGCGCCACGCCTGCGAGCTCCGGCGCGTGGCTGTATTATCCTTTGACCTATCTTTGCCTGCTTTGGACTTCTCGGGCGCGTCTCCCGCAACCTGACGCCATCTCCTTGTCAGCGAATCCGAAATCCTGGGACGTACGACTGAGAAACACAGCGTCGGGATGCAATGATAGGTGGGATTCGCCCAGGACTTGGCCATGTCGCCGCACTGGGGTCAGCGTGACAAGCTAGGCGTGGCTTCGATGTGGTTCATTGCCTGTTGGGAATTGCTTTGCACTGCCGTGAGGCAGCTCGCACCGTTCAGGAAATACGGGAAGCTGTGACTGGGCATCATCGACCTGTTTCCCATAAATCCTGAGCCTCGCACGTTGTGATTCCCTTTCCATCCCCGTCTACCTCTGCCCCTGTCCATCCTTTGCATCCTTTTTGCTTTTCATTCAGCCCTAAAGAATTCTCCAAACTTCTCCTTGGCCATGACTGGTGCAGGAATCTTGCTCGGCAGCATTGCCACGCTCTCCCTACTTGTTCAGGGCGCTCTCTTGGACAATACATGTCGTTCATACGGCATGGATTTTCAGAACGGTCAAAGCTACTTCCAGAACAGCTTGTCTACAGACCCCTTTACTTTCGTACAACAGTTCGAGGGTACTGCATCCTTCCTCAAGAGGAAGTAACCACTCCAACTGACAATGAGCCAGGTTGCCAAAAAGACATATCCAACAACCTCTTGGTCGACCCTAGCGGGGATCAAATACAATGCTCGGACACGCCTTTGCAGCCTGACGATACCGATCAGATGTCCACTTGCCCGATCTTGAAGAACCAGCTAGTATCGGGTGACTGGTCAATCATTATTATTTCCAACAATGGCGACGACGGAGAGCCAATCGCCTACCAGCGAGACTTCTCACTCAACGTTGGGCCACAAAGCACGACAATTGTTACTCCCACCGGTATGTTCAACGTCACAATTGACAGAATTTAACTGATTCCTATATAGTTCCGCTCACTACAACATCTACTCCCGTGATAAGCGCAGTAACTACCGAGACGGACATTGTGAACACCACTCTGCCTCCATCGACTACCACTGTACCCCAGATAACTATCATGAAGACCGTGACAACTACCCCTAAGCGAGTCACCATCACCAACACTGTTACCCTTGCCACAATCACTATTCCCAGGGTCTCTCTATCTGTCGTCAAGTCATTCGTCACCAAGACAGCCAGCTGCCATCTACCCCAAAGGCAGCCTTCCCAGGATCCTCCGTGCAAGATCAAGCCCACCATTGCTGGCGTGACTGCATCAGCTATGGAAACAGCCACGTCCGCCAAGTTCCGACAGGTCCGAGACATTGAACACAGCATCAACAATAACATTACCCACTTCCTTATGGAAAGGAGAGAGCGTCTGGCTGCCGCTCATGCGCTTGAAAAGCGTGCGCCTGATGTCGAGACGTTAACCGTCACTGAGACCAACACGGCTAGGTGGACCACGACAACTACCGTTGTTACCGCACCTGCCATTACTGTGTACTCGACATTTGTCGTCAACAGCACCAGCACCGTCACCCCACCCCCGATCACGGTCCTCTCTGGCAAGACTGTGCTGCCTCCAGTCACTATCACCGCGCCTACGCCGACCAGGACAAAGACCAGGTTTGAGATTGCACGGACAACGATCACAAAGTCCCAGACTTTGACGTATGTTACTATCCTGCCAAATGATAAATGTTTGCTAATACTATGTGATATGCAGCTGGACAATCACCACGACCACGACCCCAGCGGCCAGCAAAACGGCCTGCAGGAAGGCAGGCGGTGTCTTCTACCGCAACTGAGCCTAGCTATTTCCAAGTCATTCACGCAAATTACGAAGCATCACTATTAGACAGGGGAGCAGGAAGCCTCCTGCCCCATCACGACTCTCCTTTTACGAATCTCAGGTGTGCATACATACCACGACGACGGCGTGTCGCATTCTCCGGTGCAAAGCCTCACCGCATTCGCGCTTTTAGAAAAGCATAGGGCTGGGCATGGGTTGTTGTTTTTTTGTTTTTTCTCGCTTCATCTCCTAGGCGGTTATGCACAGTCAGTCAGTCAGTCAATCCTTAACCCGGGCGTGCGGGGTGGAGTATTGTCGGATCCGGGCGGCGCGGTTTAAATTAAGCAGATGTTGTTTTTTCTTATTCTCACCGCTTCTCTAGCAGGGATTGTGGCGTGTGGGCGCTGTCTGTTTGCCTTGAGGCGTTGATGTAGATTGCTTTATCCTACAGTGAATAGCAAATACGAATACTAATTGAGCGGGAGTTCTTTTGAGCTGTACGGATTAGGAATTTGGATGTATGCCACCACAAAAAGCATGATACCAAAATCCATACTTTTTCGTACCGATAAACCAAATCAGTCACATAGGTACTCACCCAGGCCCACTCGCATGCAGCACCTCGCGTGTAAGGTCACAGCACATGGGCGCCAGACAAGCAGCGCAGCGTCAGCCAGCAGCACGCACGCACCCCAGCACCCCAGCATCCCGGCAGCGTCAACCACAACCACAACACCGACACGCCGACACGCCGACGCGCAGCCGCTCGCCACGCGTCCTGGCGCCCCAGTCCCGCGTACGTACCACAACCCACGCCATCACAGCCTGAAGCTGAACGTAGCTAAGGTAAGGTAACCCCTTGTACCTTGTCGTTTGTGCCTTGTCTTTCGTGCCTTGTCCCCTAGCAGCCCACGCGCAGCAGCAGCTCCAGCCCCAGCCCCAGCCGCACGTCACACAGTATACAACAGGCAGTTAGGCGTAGGCGGTACAATTCGATACGACACGACACGATACGATAGGCAGGTCTCTTTGTGCGTGCGTGCCTGCTTGCCTGTCTGTCTGTCTGCCTGCCAGCCTGTCTGGGCGGCTGCGCGCGTGCCAGGGCGCCGGGTGGCGAGGCGGCTGCATGACGCGCTGCCGCTGCGTTAGCTACGCCACGGCCGCGCACGCTCGCAGGAGAGGCGTGCGTGGGTGTTGGGTCGGTGGCTGGGCCACGTGGCCGGCGGCGGCGGGGGCTTGCGGCTGGGGGTGGGTGATGTGGATGAAGAGAGGTGGTGGTGGTCGGGTGCGTGCAGGATTGAGGGGGTTAGGGAGTAGCGTGGGTAGCTGTGCGGGATTAGGGAGTGAGGGTATGTAATCGAGTAGGTAGAAGGGAAATAGAGGCAGAGGAAGGAGATGATATGGATATGCTGGATAGGATTTGCATGGTGTTGAGTCGCAGATCCTGGATGACGTATGATCGACCGATTGCGGCTGTCATCATCGGCCAATTTCCAGGTTCAAGTGAAACACCAAGTAGTTACGTCGCAAGCCCATTGTCACTCCCTACGCTCCCTAAAGCATGCGGTAACACTGCTCCCTCAATCCTCTGCATCGACACTTCACCATCCCATCCGTCCATCGCGCAACCATGCAGCCCCGTCTGTTGCACTCGCTCGCGCGCGCCGCGCCAATGGCCAAGCCCCCTTTCAGGGCCTCACACTTCCAGACTATCCTCGCGAGGACTTCGTCGCCGACTCAGCGCCTGTCCCTGTCACCCCTGACATGCCGGAGATCTATAACGCTGGGCAAGAAGCAACGCATAGAAGAGAGAACCGGCACAAACTCGTATGCGCAGCCGGCCTCTGAGTTGAACCAGGAGGTCACTGAGGAGGAGACAAGGGACTACGAGGAGAAGGTTGTCGAGGACACCAAGGCAAAGCAGATCCGCACGCCATGGCACCGAGAGGGGTCGGATCAGCCGCCAGTTGCGCGGCAGCGGTCCGCTGGCGCCATGACGAAGGGTACGCTTGCACCCTGGCCTATCCCACATCCGGGGCGTCTGTTTGCTGACACGGCCACTATGCAGGAAAGCTCTTGACTACGCCCAGTCGCATGCTCAAGTTGATACTACCTCTCTCGACGAAAGACCATAATGACGATCGCAAGAACGTCGAGCCTCTCGCTCTCCTCGTACACCCCCAGCAGCCGCTCTCCTACCTCGAGCGGTTAATTCAGTCTGAACTTCCTAGTATAAACGTAGATGGAAAAGACAAGATACCCAGCGTCTATTTCCGCGCCGAGGACTCGACGCAAGACGGCATGCAGCCCAAGAAGACGACGCCGGTCGAGGACCGGAGTATAGCTAAGGAGGAATCCCACGAGGATATCGAAGATAATGATAATAATGACTTGGAGAACCCCGACTCCACCCGTATCGGGGGACAAACTCACAAGACGGGCAAGCTGAACCGCAAGACGCCGGAAGAGGTAAGTGCATAACCCAATCGCACCCCACACCGTCACCAAAAACTGATGCAGTCCTCCCTCCAGGCCAACAAGCTGCGCGGCGGCTACGGCGAAGGCGGCGTCGAATCCTACAGCGGGCTGGGGCACGAAGCGCCCACGCACAAGACGAGCGAGCGGCGCTTCGTGCGGTGGTCGACGTCGACCGAGATCGGCGACTTCATCCGGGACGCAGCGCGCGGGCAGGAATTCGCCGTCGAGATCGAGGGCGCGCCGTACGACATCCGCGTCGGCGTGCCCAGCTTCAACGACCGCACTTACTACCTGCGCATGCGGCTGCGCGGGTCGTGCAAGAAGATCGCGGCGCTCGCGGACGTCAAGCGCGAGTGCGACCACCTGGCGCATAAGGGCGCGCAGCGCGTTGCTGTGGGCGGACTGGGTCTCGTGCTTGCGTGGTGGGGGACCGTGTACAAGCTGACGTTTGGCACCGATCTGGGGTGGGACGTCATGGAGCCCGTCACGGTAAGTCTTTTCCTCACATTCTCCGCACCCCCTTCCTCTCTACCGCTCCTCTCACCCGCACCCCTCCCCGCCAACTAACACCGCGCGCAGTACCTCGTCGGCCTCAGCACGCTGATCGGCGGCTACATCTGGTTCCTGTACCACAACCGCGAAGTGTCGTACCGCAGCGCGATGAACTTCACCATCTCACGCCGGCAATCCCGCCTGTACAGCGAGCGCGGCTTCGAGCTGCAGAAATGGGAGGCCCTGATCGAGGAGGCGAATATGCTGCGCAAGGAGATCAAGATGGTCGCGAATGAGTACGACGTCGAGTGGGATGAGCTGCAGGACGAGCACGCGGAGAAGGTCGCGGAGGCGTTGCGCAAGGATCGCGAGAGGAAGAAGGAGGGTAAGAAGGGTGGGGATTCGGAGGGTGGGAAGGGTGAGCAGGATTAGCTGGTGGGGTTGCTGGGAGTGGAGGGGTAATGATTGTGGGTTTACGGCTGGGGGGAAGTGTCTTGCTTTTTGTGAGCGGCATTATTGGCGTTTTTTTGATTGGGCGGTTTATTGTGTTTGCTGGATGACTACACTGCCTAGATATTCGGTATGGTATGGCGAAGAGCTAGATGAGATGGGATGGTAATCGGATCGGATCTTTGAGACGAAGCTGTTGGTGCGTTTGTAAGTCATGGTGAAGGGTCCTCGATAGGTGCTTACCTATAAATATGCCCACATCCGTCTTTCTCTTTCTCTTCCTCTTCCTCTTCCTCTTCCACGCTTCACTGAGCACAGCAGCTCAAGACAGCTAAGACCTCACTAGGTTCTCAAACAACACCTGTTAGCTCGTACGGAGGTGCTGCGTCTGTCCATCCCTCTACTCCTCCCCCCTGCCATTCAATCAGCCAGTCACTTACTCACTCATTGCATTACCCCCTAGGCACTCTGCTCCTAACCATTCACCCACGTCATCATGGCTCACCACCACACCCCCCCCGTTCCTGCCCGTCACTATCATACTCCACAGCCGCGCACATGCACGCCAGCGTCCTCGAAGAAGCGTTCTTGCACATCCCTGTGCAGCTAGCTCACCCCAAGTCCCCGCGCTCAATTCGTGGAAAGTAGCGGAACAGCGAGCCAAGTCGGCGGATGTTGAGAGGGCTTGAGTGGGTACCGGAAACGCACAAGAGGGGTGTGGGGTGTGAGGTCCTGTCGCTGTCGCTGCCACTGCCACTGTAGTAGAGTGAGGCTTCTGCTTGCGCAGACGCTTTTAGCCCATTCATAAAACATGTCTGTAGTATATATAAGACCACGACACAGCACAGCACAGCACTTCTCACTACTCACTTCTCACTCCTCATCTCAAAGACGATTTCCCTGTTCACGACATATCTATACCATACGAAGAGGCGGTGGGGCGCGCGGCCGCTGTTTATCGAGAGAGAGAGGCGACAAGGCGTATCAAGCAGGGTGAGAGGGGGTATTGCGGTTGTTTTGGTATGATATTCATCTCTTTACGCTGGTGATGGCGCGCCGTATTAGTTGGTAGTGGCGGTGAGGCGCACTTAAAGACATAGCAATTATCTCTCCCCTGTCGTTGCCGTAGTCCTGCGCAGAGACAAAGGACGTAGTCAAGGGCTGGTGCCGAGTTGATTTGGCCATGGTAAAAGAATACGGGCTTTTCCTAGGTATCCTACGGACTTATCCTCGTGTTGGACCTCGTCGCTCATAAGCCTTTCACACAGCATCAACAGCACAGCCGTATCCGTGACCTCCTTGTCATTAACTATCCTACCATTCACTACAAACACTTCTAAGTCCAGCTGAGCCTACATACAGAGGATTAGGACCACACCACACACTCCCCCAACAACACTGGATAGGGACAATACCCTTTCTCATCAGCCCGGCATCTCGCAGACGCACTATCTAACCACAACGACAACGACAACGACAGACACTCACTTCGCTAGACGCGGTATACGCAAACGAGAGCGAGTGTACAGTGCAAGGGAAGTAGGTGATGTTGCATGGAGAGATATATATATATACATACATATATGTACAAGCGCCCGCAGAGCAAGTCCTCGCCACATGAACGAAATCCCCCAGAAATGACGAAAGGCTTTTTTTTACACAGGTCCAGGACGAACCGCCGCTGCTATCCTTCCACGCAGCAGCTTCCACGCCCGTTCAACACTCCCGTGCTCGACTCCCCGGTAAGGAAATATTGTACATGTACATTTGCTATTCAAGATGCTATGCTACAGCGCCGGTGCCCGGTTCTATTTTCGAGGTGGTGTGTATGGTGCTTTCTTTGTATATAGATAGATAGAGGAGGTGGAGGTGGTGGTGGTATCGCGGGGGCGGCGGGCTGGCGGCGTCGCCGTCTGTGTGTATGTTTGTGTGTCTGTGTTTGTGTTCATGTGTGTTGGATATGCTCCCTGGGACTTGTAGTTCAGGACCTAGTAGTCCGCGGCCTAGTAGTCCGCGGCCTAGTAGTCCACGCCCTCAACATCCAGCTTCCCTTCCGTCGCCTCGACATAGCGCACCATGTCCTCAATCGTGCAGACCGTAATGCCCCACTTCTTGCCAAACGCCAAACAGTCATCGCGGCGCATCATGCCGGCGCCCGGGCGCTCAGCCTTGCCCTCCACCTCGTCGCCATCCGTAATCATCTCGCAGATGACGCCGACCTCGGGGAGCTTCGCGAGACGGCACAGCTCGGTGGCGGCCTCAGTGTGACCCCTCCGCTCACGCACGCCGCCGGCGCGCGCCTGCAACGGCAAGATGTGTCCGGGGCGCCTAAAGTCCGCAGCCGTGGTATTCGCGTCGGCAAGCAGGCGGCACGTCGTCGCGCGGTCCGCGGCCGAGATGCCCGTGCTGATGCCGTGCGCGGCCGCGGCGTCCACAGACACGCAGTAGGCGGTGCGGTTGGGGTCGGCGTTGTCGTCGACCATCTGCGGCAGCTGCAGCTTGGCTGCCCGCGACGGCAGCACCGGCGCGCACAGGTACCCCGACGTGTACCGGATCATGAAGGCGGCTTTTTCGGGTGTCAGCGCTGACGCCGCGATGATCAGGTCGCCTTCGTTTTCCCGCGATGGCGAGTCCAGCACGATGACGAAGTCGCCGCGTCCTGTGGTTGCGCGGGCGTGTTAGTGACGGGTGGGGTGGGGCGCGGGGTATGCAGGGCTGTCGCACCGAATGCTGCTATCACGTCCGGGATGGGGTCGAAGGCGGGATGCGCGGTGCCATTGGCATTGACGTGGCCGTTGACGGCGGAAGTGGTGGTCATGGTGTAGGTGGTAAGAAGGAGTGCGTAGGTGGGTATAAGGAATGGCGATACTTGTAAGGTGTCGCGGCTTTAGGACGAAGGTTTCGGCGTCGGACGAGCAAAAGAACGGAGATAGAAGTCGGGTCGGCCCACACACGCTTATGAGAGTTTTGTCAGCCAACGCTCAGAAGGGCGGCGACTCTTATAGAAGGCCGCCATTGTTGGTGAGAGAGAGAGAGAGATCGTCGACAACTCCTGGCGCGGCCGTGGGTGAAACATGCCCTCGCCCAGTCGCACGCCGGGTCTCGACCCCGCGAGAATCCCTTTCCGCTTGCGGCATGTTGATCGGTCAATCGCCTCAGTTTCACGCTCCACGTTTATGCCTAGTGCAAACGAGATGCGCAGGATGTTTCTAATCCCCACCAAAAGTACGCGTCCCCCACTTCAAGGTATCTATGCATCTATGATAAAAGGCCTATAGGCTCCACTCCCCTGTCTGACCCCCCTACGACCCCCGAGTCCGCGTCTTCATCACGAGCTCGTCGTCGTCGTCGCTCGAGTCGCTCGTGCGGCTAGACGCCCCGTACCGCTCCGTCCAGTCGTGGTGCACCGGCGCGCCCCCTTCCTGCTGCTGCTCCTGTTGCTGCTCCTGTTGCTGCTCCTGCCGACGCTGCTCCGCCTCTTGCTCCTCCTGCTCGTGCTGCTGCTCCTTTTGCTTCTGCCGCTCGGCCAGGCGGGCGGCAAACTGGCGACGGGCGCGCGACGGCGGGACGGCGAGCGGGGCGGGCATGGCCGGCGTGGCCGCGGCGGCTTGTTCATTCTTGGGGGGGTCGCTTTTCGTGTCCGACGACTGTGGTGCACGCTAGTCAGTCAGCCTCTCCAACGTTGCGTCCGGGAATCGAGAAGAGCATCGATGAGGGGATGCAGCGTGTGGCCCGAGGTCGAGAAAGTGCGTGTGGTATTTCTCGCGGTCGGGTGTCGTGCCAGTCGTTCTACATGAATCTAGGCGATAATACAGGAATGAGAAGAAAAGGGGCGGGTGGCAATCGTCATTGTTCTCGTCGCTCATGGGTCAGGGAAGTGTATACCGGCTGCGTGCCTTGTTGCTATACATGCTTGCGACGTGAGAGGAAAGCCAGTCCAACGAACCGAAAGGGGAATGACGCCATGCAAAGAAAAAACAACATGAACGCACTGACACTCTGGTTCGCGCTGCACACTGCTTCATCGATACTCCATCTCGACGTCTTCAAATGAGAGTTCACCCACTTGGTCAGAGTCGTTCAGCGGCCCGCTCCGAGCACCGCTACCCTCCTCGCCCTCGTCCATCTCTTCATCCTCCTCGTCGCTGCTGTTGTTGAACCCGCTCAGCAGGCTGCCGCTGCTGATGCCGCCGTAGCCGCTGTTATTGCTGAGCTCCATGCTGTCGAGGCCGACGTTGCCGCCGCCGATGCCCGCGCTGGCGAGTCCGCCGCTGCTGAACCCGCCGGCATTGACGGCGTTGAGCACGGCTTGGCGCGGACCGACGGCCATGTCCGGACGGACGCCGCCGAGAATGGCATTGTCGCGCTCGCGCGTCTCGGCGAGCGTCTGCTCGACGTACTCGGTCCAGGTCTGGTCGATGACCTTTTCGAGCACCGAGAGCGACAGGAGCTCCGGCGGGTGGCGTTCCGTGAACTTGACAACTTCTTCTGCGATGAGGGTTAGGTGGCCCATGTAGCCTAGTCTCATGTTGGTTTCCGCATGGGAGGTGTCACTGGCCCGCTGGCCCTCCATGATGCGCTCCGTGATCCGGCCAGTCTCGAAAAGGTCAATGGCGAGTGCCCGGTTGTAACCACGCTCCATTTGGCCGTTGAAGACCTGCTGGACAACGTCATACACGACGTTGTGCAAAAAGTTGTTCCACGGGAAGCGGAAGAAGAAATCCTAATGAGTTTAGCAAGCGTTTCAAACGGTATAATGGCATACGTACGAGAATCGTAGGCACGACGCGGTGTTCGACAAACATCGTCTTCAGCAAGTCACCAACAACAGGGGATCCGTCGATATCAACCTCGTACTGCGGTCCTTGCGAGTGGGAAAAGTCGCCGCCTTGGTCGAGTAACACTGACCGAGAACCCTCTTCATCAAAATCTCCTTCGCTCTTCTCTGTTTGCTCGCCTTCTGACTTCTTCGAGAAAAGAGGAGCGGGCTTGTCTTCAGGGCGAGGAGAAATTCCACCGGCGGGTTCACTGCTTTCCGAACCCTGGGCGAGCTGCTGCGACAACAGAGAAATAGGCTGCTGGTTCTGCTCCGGCTCTGCGCCCTTCTCACCAGGCGAGTCGGTCATGGTCGCGTCATCCTTTTCCAGCTCGAGGCAACCGACCTTGTCTGTCAACCCGGCCGATGTCGGCGAGTCTGCGCTTTCACCTGCGGGCTTCTGCTCAGGTGCCTTGGGCTCATCAACATCTTCCGTCTTCTCAACCTCGCCGCCATTCGCAGTGCGAGGAGGAAGTTTCGGTGACCTCTCCAGAGGCTCGCCAATGTCGACCTCCTTATCCTCCTGCTTCGCTTCCGAGGCTGCAACTTCTTCAAATTCCTCCTCGGCGACGGTGTTTTGAACCTCAAGCCGCTTGACCTCTTCCGGCGATTCGCTAGAAGGTGCGCGTGCGTGGTGGAAGCCATGGCTGTCGACGCTGGTGCCAAAGTCATTGTCGATGACTGACGGGTCTTCGCTCTCCTTTGCCGAGGTAAGCTTCCCCTCCGCCTTCAGGCGTTCTCTTTCCGCGTCTCTAGCCTTAACCGCGCTCTCGGCACCTCTTTCATTAAGCAGAGCCATGTTACTGCAGTGTAACAGTTCCGCCATGAGTTCGCAAGTCTTAAACCTGTCGAATCCCAAAGGCTCAATGGACACACCAAAGGCAGCCTTGAGCTCGCGTTTCCTGGTGGTCGTTGTGCCGTCGCTGTTGGTGACAGTGTGGTTGGGGTTGTTGATCAAAGCCATAAAGTCAGGCACGTGGTTCGCAAACTGGCGAAGCAGAGTTCCCAGGTAGATCGGATCCGAACTCCTTGGTTCTGGTCCCGTCTGGTTCTCAAGGTCATAATCGGAGTTGTTCTTCCTGATGACCTCAATTATTATGCCCACACCAACAGTGAGTGGGTTTCCACCACGAAGCATTTCCGTGACAAGGCTCTTGATGCATTTCTCAGAAACCAATTCGCGAGTCAGCTCATTAGGTCCAATGACCGACTGGTCTTGAGTCGTTGCGTTGGCGGAGATAGTAATAATAGCTTTCAAAAAATCGCCAGCGGATGTCTGTGTCGAAGCGTTATATTCGGGGGAAAGGAAAGATAGGAGAGTGGGAATCAGTCCATGCTGCTGGAGCCACTAGATGTTGTCAGTACCAGATCCACAGCCTATATATAACCACTTACATCGACTATGCCCTGTCCTCCCTCAGCCTTTTCCAAGCTGATGATCTTAAGCAACAGATCCATCACCATCGGGCAGTCAACATGCTGCAACATTTCCGGGACAACATTCTCGATAGACTTGAAGAACTCTAGCATCTCCTCCGTCTTCCGATCCAGCAATGACTCATTGACCTTTGTAAAGTAACCAGCTTGCACGGGATCCAGCGGAGCAGGTTGCTTGATGTACTCCCAGAACTTGCGCAGAGCCGGTTGGTTTTCAAGGAGGGCCTCCGAGATGGACCAGACTTCAGACGACAAGATCTCGCATGCGACGTACGCATACTTCAAGCGTTGCTTCTCCTCCTTGTTCTCTTCCGTTTCACCGGAGTCAGACTTGATAGATCTTGACCTCGATCTCCTCTTGAAGAAACCACCTAGGTTCCCTTCCTTATCCTTGTCCTCTGCATCTCCGGCGTTGTCACCCTCGGACGAGGGCGCGTCTTTCGAGGCAATGACGTACTGCAGCAGACGCTCCAAGATCTTGTCATCGCGCAGATACTCTATCAGCTTGGAGTTCTGCTGCTTGAGCTCCTGTATCAGATCCGACTCGTCGAGCAATTCCTCGAGAGTGACATCGGGCTTGTCCAGGATCGAGTCGAGGGTGGAGATGTTGGCGTAGCCTCCAAAGCGCCAGAACATTGTGGTTATCTAGCGGAGGCGCGCAGGGTATCTGTCAGGGGTTTGTTGATCGGTAAGCGTAGCTGTAGACGCATGCGAGAGCGAGGCTCGAGAGTTTGGGCGGGACAAGACGTGACGCGGTTGGGGCGTCTGGACTGGGAGCTGTAGCACGAGGCTGGTCAATTAGACGATTCTCTCGAGTATCAGGCAGGCCGAGTCCGAGCGCGACGGATCGCAAGGACGGGCAGTAGTGACGGCGCCGCGCGTGCGGAGGGGTGGGAAGAGGAGTATTTATTACGAATGGTGTCGCGCCGACCCGAGGCACAACGAGGCAGCTGGTGTCGTGTGCGCGGCGTGCTTGGGATGCGCAGGCGCGTGATGGTAGGCTGCGTCAACGTCAGGTTGGGAGCCGGTCGCAAGGCAGAGCAGCAGCCTCCCCAAGGTCGAAAAAGCGAAAGAGGCAGGGTGGTTTCGTCATGCAGTGGCCACGGCGGCGGAGGGTTCAGTGGTCCGGGCAACGGCAGGTCGTGGCAGGCGGGAGAGAGAGGTGAGACAGACTTCAATGCTTGTTGTTCAGCGTCGGTCGGCGTTGGATTCGGAGCTGCGCCAGCGCCCGCGATATACTGCGATTCTCGTGGCCGCACTGGCACGCAGCCATCGCAGTCCGCCCCGGCCACGCTCGCTTGCTTCGCTTTGCCTGTCGCATTGGACCGGGGGCCCTGCTGGGGCTCCACCATCCTTGCCGATCAACTCCAAGCCAGCCAGCGAACAAAGTGGTCGTCAGGTCAGCCAGGCATCTGTTCGCCCCTCTCTATCCTGCCTGCGTGCCCTCAACTCCAGCCTTGCACATAGTACCTCTGCCTGCAGCCTGCCGCCACGTGGCAAATCTCCCTCCTGCACATCACATCCACACATCCTCCGCATCCATCTCCGTATCCACACATCCTCCGCATTCACCATGAACCGCCTGTTTGGAGCAAAAAGCACTGGGCCCAAGCCCACCCTCGCAGGCGCAATCTCCAACGTGAGCCCGACCCCGCCCCAGGAACCCCCAGTGTACTAATTCCTCAGGTCGACGCCCGCATAGAGACCATCGATGTGAAGCTCGCCAAGCTCAACGCCGAGCTCACCACTTACCAGCAACGTCTGGCGAAGATGCGCGACGGCCCCGGAAAGAGCGCCATCAAGCAAAAGGCCCTCAAAGTCCTCCAGCAGCGCAAGATGTACGAGGGCCAGCGCGATCAACTACAGTCACAGTCATGGAACATGGAGCAGGCCGGCATGATGCAGGACAACCTGAAGAACACCATGACAACCGTGGACGCCATGAAGACGACCACCAAGGAGTTGCGCAAGCAGTATGGCAAGGTCAACATCGACAAGATCGAAAAAATGCAGGATGAAATGGCCGATCTGATGGACATTGGCAACGACATTCAAGAGAGCATAAGTCGTAGCTATGACGTGCCCGAGGATGTGGACGAGGCAGAACTTGATGCCGAGCTGGAGGCTTTGGGCGAAGAAGTGGAGCTGGACGGGCTCGGTGAGTCTGAAGGCATGCCCAGTTTCATGGTCGACGAAACGAGAGCACCCCAATTCATCGACGAGCCCCCGGAGCCGGCGAATAAGGTCAAGGAAGCCGCCGGCTGAACAAGGCCATCTTATCCCCCCACACTGTCTGTATTGCAGACAAGTGGCGAAAGGAATATGATTATGTCGATCGTGACTGACGATAGCATTTCCCGATTATGGCGTGACGGAGCCACGGCGTACTGAAACAGTTCTTGGGGTTCTTGGCTGGAGGAGAGGAAGACCGGCAAGTTCCTCCGGTCCCTTGGCACCCGATGATGGTGATGCCGCAAGCAGACTGGTGGCTAGTAGGCTTCCAATCTCACATCGAAGACCTCGAACGATGACCTCCTCGTGCCACCGTGAGTGAAGGCTCCAAACCAGGTCTACGGTACTCTATGCTGCACCAGATGCTTCGCTCAAAGCCAAGATTCGTCGCGAATGTACAGTACTCGAGTAGAAGAATAGAAAGAGAACGGACTGTGCCGACTTCCCGATTCCAAGACAGCCTCCAGCGCCAAGGCCGCTTTCGATTGGTTCCGCGTTTCGCCAAGTTTGGCAATGGCGGAAGATTGCTGGGCGACTTCCCACCCCACTCCACGCCAAGCCACTTCGGTCGCTAGGATCCCCGGATTCCCACACCTCCATGTCGTTTGCATCCCTCGATGATGTGCACGTGTATCGACTCCGCCCTCTGCCTGCCAAGATGATCGCGTGGAGCACGGCTTGGCTTCTCTCATGCTGCAGAACAACACTCAACCTAGTGGCTTTTTGTTTGCGTTCATGGCGGGTCCGATAGTTGCGCTGACGCCCCAGCCAAGATATATAAAGACAATGCATGACCCGGATTCCGTGACTTCTTTCACCAACCTTTCCAGAAACTTCTGATCTTACTCACCGCGAGCATTGGCTCGTTTAGACTTATTCACCCCTCAGTACAAAGACACAACTTTACCCCCACTTACACACCACAACCCTGCATACGTCACAGACTCCTCAGCATGGGCTCCGAAAAGGGCTCAGCAGCAAAGCAGGAGTATGAGAGGCATCCATTCCAGCTCTCGGTCGACGAGCTGAGGGGGCATCTAGGGGCACACACAGACTCCGGCTTGAGTACGTCCCAAATCAACCAGGTTCGAAGCAAGTACGGAGAGAACAGGTTAGAGGGAGAAGGCGGTGTGAAATGGTACTCTGTACTTCTAAAGCAAATCAGCAATGCCATGATCCTGGTAGGTACACATAATCCACAATACACGTGCTGTTTCTTCACCAATGTCATCCCCTGTGACATAAAAACAACCAGACTCAGTACTAACCGCAACAGGTTCTGCTCCTCGCCATGGCCCTGTCCTACGGTGTCACGGACTACATCGAAGGCGGCGTCATCACGGCCGTTATCGTCCTCAATGTCTTTATTGGGTTCTACCAAGAATTCCAAGCGGAGAAGAAAATGGACTCGTTGCGAGCCCTCTCGAGTCCGACAGCAACCGTGCTCCGCAACGGCATCGTGGACGCCATTCCCTCGGCCGAAGTCGTACCAGGCGACATTGTGCAGATCAAAACGGGCGACACGATTCCGGCGGATCTCCGCATCTTCGAGGCCATGAACTTGGAGTGCGACGAGAAGATCCTGACCGGCGAAGCGATACCCGTGGCCAAGAACGCTGAGGCCGACTTCGCGGGCAGGAGCGAGCTCGAGACTGGCATTGGCGACCGCGTCAACATGGCGTATTCGTCGTCGACGGTGACCAAGGGCCGGGGGCAAGGCATTGTCGTCTTCACGGGCATGTATACTGAGATCGGGAGGATTGCTGCGTCTATGCATGGCAAGGAACGCAAGGCCAACCGCTCGCTGTCGAGGAAGAAGGGCGGCAATCTCCAGCCCGCGAAAGGCCTTGCCCTGCGCATATGGGACGGCATTGGCGAATTCTTGGGCCTCACGGTCGGTACGCCGCTGCAGAGGAAGCTGTCCAAGCTTGCATATCTCCTGTTTGGCTGTGCCATCCTTTTGGCAATTATCGTCTTTGGCGTTAATAGGTTCGACGTTACGAATGAAGTTGCCATCTACGCAATCTCCACAGGTAAACTTCCCCTCCCAGACTATAAATACAAAGCTGACCTTCAGGCATCGCAATGATTCCCGAGTCACTTATCGCTGTCCTTACCATCACCTTCGTCAGCGGCATGACCTCCATGCGCAAGCGCCGCGTGCTTACCCGCAAGCTCAGCGCCCTCGAAGCCCTCGGCGGCATTACCAACATCTGCTCCGACAAGACTGGCACCTTGACCCAGGGCCAGATGATCACTCGCAAAGTATGGATTCCCGGCGTGGGGGTGTACACGGTCAACAACTCCGAGGAGGCAGCAAACCCGACTCAGGGGACCGTCACGCTTGGCAAGGAGCACTCCAAGACTGAGATGGAGGCCGAGGCGCACGAGAGACGGGAGAAGCTGGACCGCGACAGGAGTGCTGCGGGCATCCGGTTCAAAGAGCCAAAGGAGAAGACGGAGCGGGATGAGCGCAGAGCCAGAAACGCCGAGTTGGACGAGAAGCAGGACGAGGAAGAGGAAAATGTCGAAATCGTCCCCGAGCTCGACGCCTTCCTCCACTCTACTGCCCTGTGCAATCTCGCCACCGTCCGCCACAACGAAGAAGAGCAGAAATGGCAGACTACGGGCGACCCCACCGAAGTGGCGCTTCAGGTGTTTGCTCACCGTTTCGACATGGGCAAGAAGACGCTCGAGAGGCAGCGCGGCTGGAAACAGATCTCCGAATACCCCTTCGACAGCACCGTCAAGCGCATGTCGGTCATTTACAAAGAGCCAGCCACCAACACCACGGTCATCTTCACCAAAGGCGCCGTCGAGCGCATCCTCGACCTGTGCGTCAGCGTGGGCATCGGAGCAGACGCAAGGCCCATCGACGACAGCGTCAAAGAAGCCATTCTCGAGCAGATGACGCTGCTGGCGGACCAAGGGCTGCGCGTGCTCGCCATCGCGCGACGCAGCTGGAACGGCCCCGCCATGGGCGAAAAGTCCGAAATCCCACGCGACAACATCGAGACGGAGTTGACGCTGCTGGGGCTGGCCGGGCTGTACGACCCCCCGCGGCTCGAGACCAAGGACGCGGTGCGTGAGTGCACGACGGCGGGCATCCGCGTGCACATGCTGACGGGGGACCATCCGGGGACGGCGGCGGCGATCGCGCGCGAAGTCGGCATCATCCCGAAAGACATGGGGACGCTGCCGCGAGACGTGGGCGAGGCGCTGGTCAAGACGGCGGCCGAGTTCGACGGCATGAGCGACGCCGAGATCGACGCGCTGCCCGCGTTGCCGCTCGTCATTGCGCGCTGCGCGCCCAACACCAAGACGCGCATGATTGCGGCGCTGCATCGGCGGCGGGGCTACGCGGCCATGACGGGCGACGGCGTGAACGACGGGCCGAGCCTGCAGGCGGCGGACGTGGGCATCGCCATGGGGCTGGCGGGGTCGGACGTCGCGAAGGGGGCGGCGGACATTGTGCTGACGGACGACAACTTTGCGAGCATCGTCAACGCCATCGAGGAGGGGCGGCGCATGTTCGACAACATCCAGAAGTTCGTGCTGCACCTGCTGACGTCCAACGTGGGGGAAGTGGTGCTGCTGGTATGCGGGCTCGGGTTCCAGGACCGCCACGCCTTCTCCGTCTTCCCGCTGAGCCCGCTGGCCATCCTCTGGATCAACATGCTGACGTCGGGCTTCCCGGCCTTTGGGCTCGGCCGCGAAAAGGCCGCGTACAACGTCATGATGCGCCCGCCGCACGACAACAAAAAGGGCGTCTTCACCTGGCAGATCATCACCGACATGGTCGTGTACGGCCTGCTGATGGGCATGCTGACGCTGTTCACCTTCGTCATCATCGTGTACGGCCCGGGCGACGGCGCGCTGGGCGTCGACTGCAACCGCGCCTACAGCCCCAGCTGCGACGTCGTGTTCCGCGCGCGCGCCGCCGTCTTTGCCGAGCTCACCTGGCTCATCCTCATCTCCGCCTGGGAGATCAAGAGTATCCGCCGCAGCATGTTCCGCCTCGACCCCCGCAGCGACAGCCGCTTCCCCTTCTTCAGCGACGTCTGGGACAACCAGTTCTTGTTCTGGGCCGTCGTCGCCGGCAGCCTGATTGTGTTTCCGTGCATCTACATCCCGGGCTTCAACACCACCGTCTTTAAGCAGAAAGGTACGCTTCCCCCATAACCTTTCCCACCCATACTAACACACCACCACAGGCATCTCCTGGGAATGGGCCCTAGCCATCGGCGCGGTCATCATCTTCGTCGCCGGCATGGAGCTGTGGAAGCTAGCCAAGCGGACATTCGGGTGGTTCGCGCTGGCGGAAGACGAAGACCGCGTCGAGGACCAAGGCCGCCACAGGAAACACCCGCTCAGCCTGCGCCAGGGCTTCTTCTCCTTCTCGCGCACAAACTCCCTAGCCAAGGACGTCTCGCCCGGTGGTGGCTCCGAGCTCACCGCTGTGCCGAGCTGCCAGAGCGCCCTGCGCAGTAGCTTGGTCAAGGACGAGGTTTGAGTGGCTTCGCTAGGTACTGAGCTTTGATGGTTTATGTTTGCTTGTTGTCATCGGCTAGATACCACGGCCGCGTTACGGCCTTTGTTGCGTTTGGTGTGGTTTTGTGTCGATGTTTTGGTTTGACGCGGGGCTAGAGAGCCGTTTTGGGGTGGTGGCTCTGAGCGTTGGTGCATAACCAATTATGAGGGTGGATATTGCTTCTTCTATTCTGAGTAGTTAGTACCAGACATCGCATCCAGAAGCAATGCAAATTCGAATAGTTCAATCATTAGTGCTGCAGCTGGTATTTTGAAGTACCTTGGCTCGCCGACAATCAAGAAATGGCCGTCAAAGAAAGACGTACCCACCGACACAACACAAGACTCCCTAAGAAGCTATATCAAAGCACCCTTATTCATAATGAGTTCCTCCTTCCTCCTATTCCTCTCCATCTTCTCATCAGCAACCCTCGTTTTCTCCGCAACCTCCTTCCTCCACTGATCCTTGCGCCTCTGCCTCTCCGCGACCTTCTTCTCATACAGGCGTTCCTCGTCCTTGCGCTTGCGCTCCTCCCGCCGCAACTTCTTGTCCAACGCGGCCACCTTCTCATCCGTAAGGTGCCACGGCCTCGCCAACACAGCCGCATAGTACGCCGCCGTGTCGGCCCAGCACGCCGCCTCCTCGGCCGTGTTGCGCACCACAGCCACGCGCTGCAGCATCAGCTGGTGCGTGTTGCGGAACGCGGTGAGGGTGCACTTTGTCTTCAGCACGGTGCCGATATCGACGGCGTGCCCGTCGATCAGGACGGCGAAAACGCCAATCTCGCTGACGATCTCGACGTTGTCGACGGTGGTGTTTGAGGGGCATTCGGGCGACAGCGGAGCAGCTGGGTCTGAGTATCTCTTGCCGTCAGAGGGGACGTCGGGCAGGCGCCGCGTGATCTTGACTTCGATGGTGGCGCCGCTGCCGTCGTCGAGCGTCAGCAGTGCGAACCGCGAGCTGATATCCTCGATGGCGATGACGGTGCCGACGACGCGGACGAAGCGGACGGGATGGTTCTGGTGGTAGAAGATCTGGTACTGGTCTGCGAAGTTACCGAGGCCCGAGATGGCTTGCTCTAGAAGTGAGTGAAGGGGTAGTTAGTTGATATGCAGTGCACGTTTTGTTGCTCGGATTGTTGCATGCGAACTTGCGCGTGGGCTCACAAGCTATCACCACCTACCTCCGGAGTTGGGCGGCGCGCGGAGAGCGTGCACGCCCGCGATCGTGAGCTTCACCCATGCGTTGAAGGTTGCTGAGGCTTGGTAGAAGCGGCTCGGGTAGAAGCGCAAGCTTTTGCCGCTGCTCATATCATCTTTTCTGTTTCGGTGGTCTTGACGGGGGGAAGACGCGTTCGTGCGACGCGACGTGGCTAAACCTAGCGACACCAGGTCACGTTCCAGCTAACGCCGATTTGGTAACGCGTCTTTCACCCACTCAACACACTCGTCATTTCTATCTTTCTACCACACTCACTGATCACTTAACAAACAAAAGCTGCTATACCTACAGAGCGCTCTTTCGGTGGTCACAACAAGTTATAACACTATGTTCGGTAGTCAACATGTAACTACAAGGGCAATATGATACCAGGATACAAGAGTATTGCACAAGACATCAAAGACAGACATTCAAAGGCACAAATATACAAGAGTACAAAAGTATTCCATGAAAGCATAAAGGTATAAAAGCGAAAGGGTGTCATATACCCGTACGGATATGGTATCACAGGAATGAGCGGATAATTCGAGACCCGAGCACATCTCCTCGAAACTGCTGACCAGAAAGTAGCACTAGCCCCGACGTTCAAGCCTTTGCCTCCGGCCGTTGTGCATACACGACATGTCTATCGTCGTGTCAGCATTTCTCATCAACCAATACGCGAGGAGCACTTACAGATCGAATTGCGAATGCAACCATTTGCTCATTATCTCGTTGCGCACCTTCGCAAGGCTCACCTGGACCTCTTCCAGCCGCCAGCCCAAGACTTGCGTAAAGAGCCGAAGCGAATACCCCTCGAGACCCTGGAGGGTCTGCATCAAATTGAACATGCCCAGTTCTTTCTGCAAAGCTAATCAGTAACTGCTACACCTGTAATACGACACTCTGTTCGGAATTGTCAGTTCATACCTTCTGCTTGTCCTTCGGCCAGGGCCCAATGGGGAACTTGATACGCTCGTGGTGCACATTCTGGAACCCGGCATCTTTCAGCCAGCCCTCCAATTGCGGTCCAGGACAAGGGTCGCGTCCATTCTTCCTTGAGGCATCAAGAATGTGACGGATCCACTTGTATATCTCCGTGTCCGGGTTCATCGTGTTGTCGTCGCTATAGTAAAGAAGATCGAAATCCTGGAATTCCGCCCATCCTCCAGGCTCAAGGTTACTAGTCGCTAATTGTTAGAAAACATCCAATAGACAGCTCGATTCGACAGGCTTACTCATGGACTTGTTTTATCAGCCTTGGCCAATCCGCAATGGACGTGGCCATATACCTGGAGAAGATGTACGAAAATGGCGTATTGTAGGTCCAAGGATCCTCCACGTCATCAACCTCAAACTTCACGTTTGGCGGCACGAAGCTGGGCTGCTCTGGCGAGAGATCGTTCCCCAAGATCTGCGCATCCGGGAACATGTCTCCCATCTCCATGCTCCAGATGCCGGTGCCGGTCCCGATGTCCAAAATGCGCTTCGGGTTCTTCGGAATCGGCGCGCGATATATCTTGTCCCCCAGTCCCTTCTTAATCAGGAAGTGCATGATGTCCAACCGATCCAGCTCCGTCTCGTCATTCGGCAGGATATACGTGCCGGAGCGATAGGCATGATAGCGGCGGCCATGCTCGGTGGGATAATCGGTCACGCTCGGCGTCAACGACTGGGTGAACGTCGAGAGCTCGTCAGAGACATCGCAGAGGGCCGAGTCGTTGTCGTTTACTAAGTGCTAGCGCAGTCAGCGGCCGGGAGCGCGGTACCGGAAGGATCAAAAGAGCTGGCGCTGTGTATGTATACATACCTCCGGGTCGATCTCCAGTGCCGCTGCAGACGCTTCTTGTGCCATGTTTGTGTCGCTGATCTTAGGTGAAGCTCGCTGCGTCCAGTGCTGGATGTGGGACCTTTTCAAGCCCCTGACAGTGTCACGCTGTGTGTGAGGGGCTGTCTCCGCACGACCTGTCTGCGAGTCAGGCTGAGTGGCACAGTTATTGCCGTTTTAGGAAGGCGGGGCGGGCGTCTCGTGCTTTAGCCAGAGAATCATTGAACCGCTATCAAAGTAACATCGCGCATCCTTTGTAGATCGGAGATACATGGTAAGTCGAGATCTGTTGTCGTACAACGGTAAGTATTTTCCATATACTCGAAAAGAAGGTGTTGTTAAAGATAACTCTTTTTTGTTTAACCGAGACAGAACAGATTCTGGGGGGAAATGTCTACAACTTAGTTATGTAGCCTTCTCTATTTTCACTTTGCTTACTACATGTCCACTTCTTAACCGCATATTAGGCTAAATTTATTGTGCCTACCAAGTATTCTTTATCTGGGTGGTTATAATCAACACGCAAAAGACGCGGGGCGTCAAACATAGACGAGGATAAAAAGACACGAAGATACTAAAATACTATACAATTACACGGGGAAATAGACATAGAAAGGTACAAGTATATTTCACATAGGTATAAGTGTGCAAAAGTGTAATAGTATGTATGCGCTCTATGTCTCTTTCACTCATACCTAGGACTTAGGCTTGTAGCTATATAAGGAGTAGTATGCTAAACATGGTTACTAAAACAACACGTACTAATTCATTATGCCTTTTAATAAAGAAAGATATCTGGTCATCGTATAATATTCTATAAATCGTCTCAGTACTTGTTGTACACTCTCACTGTGAAGACAACCACAATCATCTTGGATCCTCTTGAACTGCACCTTCGGCTGATTATTTAGCGAATTGCACCTATATGAAGGTTTGAGCCCTGACGTCGGTTCCCGCAGATGATGAAAACAGTCAAGCGCAGGCAGCAACCGATGACGTTGATCGACAGGGTCTCATGGCCCACTTAAGTGGATTTCTGATTTATAAGTTCACCACTCCCGCTGCCAGCTGTCACCCCTACGCCTCCCAATATCTAGAAATGGACACGTATAATCCATCCTCATGGGGCGAACGGCCTTTCGACTTGTTCATACTGGTAAACTCAGTCTGTCTTTCGCAGAATGATTTGGCTGATCATCACAGGATGAGTTCGATTGGAGCTTGCCCAGCGATCAGGACCATCTCCAGTGGAACAAGCTGTGCCAGAAATTCTTGAGCTTGGGTGCAAAAGGCCGTGAAGTGAACTTCACCCGGCTCGACGATGCCTATTTGATGTGACTGACATGCCACGCACAGCCTTACTACGAGGGAGAATTTGACAGAGAATGGCCTCGCCCAACAGAGGAGCAAATCAGACGTATCAGGCCCTTACAGACCACCCAGGAACGCAGTGTCTACGGCGAAGCAATCTGGCTCCGTACTTGTTACCTCCAGGGCTCCGATCGCAGGCACGAGGCCATGTTGAGAAAAGTAGCAGAGACGGCGCCCCCGGAAGACGGTCCCTGTTCCCGCATCGAGAAGAAACACTGCGTCTTCGACGACAGTGACCGGTATGATTTTGGCGATGACTGGGCCCGCATCTTCACCCACATCCCCGAGCTAGTCTACCCAACGTTCGGCCCGGGAACGCTCGACCCGGAGAACTTGTCGGCGTTCTTTACTGGTGCCTTTGACGAATTGGCAGGGAAGATCGTTAACCACATATACCTCGTCGACGAGGAGGCTCTGCGCACTGGCCTGCTCAAAATCATCTGGTTTGACGCCTTTGGGAAAATGGCTTGGAGCAACTTTTTACCGCCCCAGTATCTGAACGACTTTTCGAGCTGGAGGGATGCCCTCGGTTTTTCGAACCTTGTGGAGACGACTATTGCCCATGATGACCCGAAATGCTGCCGAGGGACTCTATTCTCCAATGAAAGAGATTTGGAGCGTATGGTCTCGTGGAAGCCTGACAATTAAGTAATGCTAATGGTTCGATTTATGTCTGTTTGCGCGATGTACACTAAAACTGCCTATTTGTATATGCAAGAAACCTAATATTTGTTTTCAAGTCGTCTTTCAAGTGCTAGTCTGTGGTTTTCACAGACAATTTGCTGATCCAATGTAGCACCATAAACAAACATATTGACTAGGTTTTGTTTCCACTCCGCGCAAGCACAAATATCTCCGGCTATGAATCTAGCTTGACAGTGATGGACATTAGCAAAATAGATTGCTTGGGCAGTCTGTGGGAATTTGAAAGAAAGAGTTCCAGAATAGGACGATGATGCAAAAACAAGATCCGGGTAGATACCACGCGCAGCAACCAAAAACCTAAAAAGCACCACAAACCCCCCCACAGCTGAGCAAGATTCTAGAATCATGACAGCGCAGCCTCGGCATGACCATCCAGGGTATCGCAAGCCCAAGCCGCAGCATCCGAGCCAAGTTCCGGTCAGCAGGGCAGCGCCCAAAGCCAGCAGACACCCAACCACGCCACACAGCACGCGTCTTCCGCGACACCCTGCATTGTCACACAATGCAAAGGCGAGGAAGCATCGGGATGTAAGAGATGAGGCTGCACGCTCCGCCGCGCGGTCCGGGGTCATAGAAGCCAGCTCGGCTCTCGCCTGCTGGCCGACGAGGCGGTCGAATCTGCATGGCGTCTGCATGCATGTCTGCATGCATGGATACGACAGGCAGGCTGCCAGTGGGCGAGCGCGAGCTCGTTGTCGGCCCTTTGGCCTTGCGTTGAGATTTCCGGTCTTATAGCTAAGGTAAGCTTATTAGGCGCATATGCGCATGTGTTTGTGAGCTGTGAGCTGTGAGCTGCGAGTATCCGTCTGTGTTTCCCTGTTCCCGTCTTTCTCCCCTCGTTTCATTTGCGCTTCTTCGCACCTCAAAGTTGTCCTTGTCTTGTCTTTGCGCTTTGAGCCGCGTACCTACAGAGTGCGATTTGGAGAGCTGTTGAGTGTGTTCTGCGAGCTGTCAGGTCGTCTATAGAAGGTGCTATAAGCTTCCGCGCAAGGTGCTACCGGGACGTACTTCCCACGACCTACCTTTGGCCTGCTCTTCAGGATACTTCATCATACATCAATGGCGCATCCGCAAACCTCAACCGGCGCCTCGCGTGTCGGCCTTTTACAATTGCTCATTCTTGCAATTACATTCTGCGCAAATCGCGCAGCAGCAGACAACATATACGCCCCATTCTCGGGTGCGATCTACATCATCGGCGCAGACGGCTACCAGATAACCGGAGCCTCTCCTGCCGTCTGCCCCAACTATGCCTCAGAGAGTTGCAATAGCATCGGCTACTGGAACTGGTATTCGTCATCCCAACGTTCCTCTCTCTTTCTTGGTTTAGCAATCAAACAGCTAACATGATGGCTCTCAAGGTGTTGTCCTGCCGGACATACATGCTCCTACCTCAGCAACTCCAACGTCGTCGGATGCTGCCCCGCCGGGTCGTCCTGTTCAGGCGGCGTTGCCCCTGGCAGTATCACCACTGTCACCGTCACCGTGTACAACACGGCCACGACGACGGTCGTGCAGAACATTGCCCCGGCCTATGTCGCTCCGACCACGACTCAAGTCGTTCCACAGTGGGGTGGCTATTGCGCAACAATCACGGCCAACGGACCGGATTTACCGACGACAAGAGCGGGCGATTGTGGGACCATATTAGTGATCAATGAAGGCGTTGGTAAGAATGTGGGAAAGCGGATAGCTGTGTTGGTAGGGCTGATGCATTTGCTTGGGTGGGGATGATAGCGGCGTTTAGGTGAATGCACTGTTCTGATTACAATCCAGTCCTTTTTAGCGTTGGCTGGTTACAACGTTTTTCTCATAACGGTAAAGGTGTGCAAACGGCCATGCAAAACCTAGCCGGCTATACCGATCAACACCTTTTTGGCTGTCGGAAATTGCTGACTATCAAACGTTGTAACCAGTCTTGACTGTAGGCGTTTGGATATTTCGGAACGGGAACTTACGATTTACGAGTGTCAAGCATATTCCTTTTAGAAGAAAAGACGAGTTGTTCTGGTATGAAAGACACGACAACCAAGGAAAAATGGGACCAACGAATATCAATTCACTAGGTAGTCTTACAATAAAGAGTACTGTGACCATAAGCATTTCGAATAAGGGTGTTTTAATTCCCTCTTCTCATCTCGTTTTCTATGTCCTTGGGAACACTGACAAGACTGGGGATGCTGACGGCGTTGAGACGACGGAAAGCCTGAGCAAATAGAGTTAGTCTGTCATTCAGAATACAATTCTTAAACACTGTGACTATTCCAATCTGCCACTTCGGATATGAAAACACTCCAAACGCACCGACCAAGTAGTCATACTCCGCCAAGCTAATTCCTCTTTTACCATGCCCAGTTCCACTTCGCGGGCTCAAGGGTTCTCGGAATCCGGCATTGAGACCTACATTTACAATCGTGCTGTCGGCCACTTCATCATTCCACTTGTCTTCCACTTTCGTGATTTGGCCAGTGGAATCTGTGTAGATGCTGACAACCGATTTGATGGTGGTTGATGATTTGGCACCCTTGACAATATAGCGCGTCTTCAATTCCATGGTAATTGGGTTGCCGGATGAGGTAACTTCATACGAGAGGCGTTCAATCTGAGAGAAGGCGGTTTGGAGGCCATACTGGCAGAGCAGTTAACAGCAGATCGGCGAACAATAAAGTGACCCGTACCCATTGGGATTCAAACTCTTTCCTGCCTCGAACCTGAGTTAAGGGATCTTCGAAAACGGCATCATCGGACCAGAGGTTGAGCTTCCTCTGCGAGGCACGACCAGCGAAAAGGTCGAGCACGCTGCTGACAATGACTTTTTGGTCGCTAAGGAGTTCAACACCCGGGCCGGTCTTCATGTTGGCAGTGCTGATTTTGAGGTAGCCTGGCAATGACGTTTGTTATATCGCCTGGACTTGCTGACACACGGTGCATATGCTCACCCGTAGACATGTTTGTTTGCGAGAGGCGGGAATGTACGTCTTGTTGGTAATACAACAGCTCGTGCAATGATTCGGAGGGAACAAGGCGCGGTTGGTTAAACTGGAATTGGAAGTTGTAAGGGAGACGAGCGCCGACTGGTTTAAAGTATGGTCCGTTGCCCTTGGCGCGTCAGAGCGAACTGGTTGCCCGAAACGTCTAGCGGGTCTCCAAGAAAGTGGTGACGCAATCTCATCCCGTGTTCCTTTCGTCAACACGTGCAAGATGCCAAAGAAACCTCAAATGCCAACATGAGACAAACGAATAGTTTGGTGTCCGCTGTCAATCCGCCGTCAAAATAGCGGTGACGCCAGACCGCTTGCACTCATCAAGGTGCAAGAACTTGCTCTGCATATATGTTTTCCTTGAGCTCGATAAGACATCACCAGCCCTCTCATTCACCAAGTCGGATGGCATTGGAGATGACTTTCCTCGCTTCGCAAATGGCTAGGCGCATGTAGGACGGCGCGGACGCGACTCATCGTCCAAGGTCAGGCGGGCATTGTTGGATAGAGGGACATCTTAGACTCCTGCAGCGCAACGGAAGAGTCTGCAATGCGATTGAGATTGAAATTCATTGTACCAGTTGCACCTTAAAATGTGGTGTTTGATCGCCCCGCAGGACCACCGGTGACTCAAATAGAGCGCGGGTTTAACCGCGTAACTCCGTCGCGCGACCCGGACGCGTCGTCCACGACACGCTTGCCGCATCCACTTCACACAGCTTCATCTCGAACACCCCACTCCTCACCACTATGCCCAGGAAAGCCAAGCACGCTGAGGAGGAGCTCTTCGACGAGGAGCCGCCCACCTCCATCGATCCGTATGCCGTGCTCGGTGTTGACAAGGATGCAACGCCCGACAAAATCAAGAGCGCGTATCGCAAGGCTGCCCTGAAGCACCACCCAGGTAGTTCGATTTCACCAACAGTCCCGATCCTTCACTAACACTCCTCAGATAAGGCCCAGGACAAGGAAGACGCCCATGTCAAGTTCCAGGAAATTGCCTTTGCCTATGCTATCCTCTCCGACGAGAGACGTCGATCTCGATATGACAGGACCGGCCGCACCGATGAATCGGTCGACATCGAGGACGATGACTTCAACTGGGCAGACTTCTACAAGGCTCAGTTTGAGGATGTCGTGAACGAAGCGGCTATCGACAAGTTCAAGAACGAGTACAAGGGCAGCGATGAAGAAAAGGGTGACCTGATTGCGGCGTATAACAAATTCGAAGGAAACATGAACAAGATATACCAGGTCGTCATGCTCAGCAATCCGTTGGAAGATGAGGATCGTTTCCGTGGTATACTCGACGCGACAATCGAGGATGGCACCATCACTTCGCATAAGAAATACGCCGAGGAATCTGAAGCCAGCATTGAGCGTAGGAAGAAGTACGCTAGGAAGGAGAAGAAGGCGGCCGAGAAATATGGAAATGAGCTGAACGAAAAGAAGAAGTCGAAGAAGGCAAAGGGTGACGGCGACCTTGGCGACTTGGCAGCACTTATCCAACAGCGGCAAAAGGGCCGTGCCTCTACTTTCCTAGATAATCTCGAGGCAAAGTATGCCCCGAAGAAGAGATCCACTCCGATGGATGAACCATCCGAGGAAGCCTTCCAGCGGACCGCATCACGAGCCAAGAAGGGCAAGAAATGAGTGAGATTCCGACTCAGGTTCAGATAGGCTGGGTTCTTATGTCTCGCCAGCGATGCCACGGTTCCTCTGGCGATTAACCCATCTATCCTTTGTTTTACGAGTTAACGAGATACCATAACGTGCATACGCGCGCCGGGTTGGTTGGTGGACCTTTACTAGAACCATCGTACCAGGAAATCGGCCAATGATCCGTACGGATTCACAATAAAATTTTCTCAGGAATTCTTTCACGTGCCGAAGAACTTCTACCCCTGCGTGCCACGAGAAGAACACGGCCCACACGTTGGGATCCGAGTTTGATCTCCGCATTCTTGGTACGTCATTGTGCAGAACTCTCCTCAACAACGTATGTTTATACAAACCTACGGGTGGCCGGGGAGAATGTGTTTCTTGGGTAGAGTCTTGGAAACCCTGGACGTTGGTCTTGTGGACTTCGCCTCTCAAGGGATCAAGGACGCAAGGAGATCAAGGTATGCGAGCGGCTTGTTATGTACTACCGCCTCAAGGGCTTTCATATCTGGCGCCAGAGTGCACATAGTGTTGCTTTAGCACTCATAAACTCACTTCTTGATAACAATTTTTGGCATCACTCCACAGTACGAGCACCTTCATCCTGACGATTTTTTTATCCTGTCCAATTCTTACAGCATTGGGATGAAGTCCTTCATCATCCTCGCTGTGGTTCAGCTCGCTCTTGCGGCTCCGCAGCTTATCCCAAACGCTTCGTTCGATTGTCAATGCAATATTCCCGCGTGTCCTGCCGATGAGCCACAGGTACTACTGTCGCGCATTTTGTGACATTTCAAATCTAATGCTTTGACAGCGTTGTCTATGTGAGAATCAAGCAGCTCTAGAATGCTGGGAGTATCAAAGCATCGGAGGACAGAACTGTCCTAGTCCTACACCAAGGGCAGGTTGAACCCAAAGTCACTTTGCAAAAGCAGACTGTTTCGTGTCCATTTAACATGGGTCTTTCCGGCACTTCCGTCTAATACCGTATAGGTCTGCACTTCGGCTGGAAACAGCACCGCATTGCCACCTCCAAAACCTACGCCAAGTTGCGAATGCGAGCAGAAATTCTGCCTCCAGTCATGGCCCGGAGTAAGCTGGCAACTGTGTCAATTGATTCCAATTGCTCATATTTCTAGTCTTGTTACTGCGCGAATCAAAATAAGCTCGACTGCTACTACAAGTGTGGCGGTACCTATCCTGAGCTCCAGGTACGTTGAACGCCCAAAAACCACATCTGCGCTCCTCCATCAGGAGCCTGACCTTTCCTACAGTCTTGCCCCACACTCAACAGCAGGCCGCCTCCCTCCAGCGTCGTTCCCAGCCCCGACGTCCCAACATTCCCCGTCAACAGCACCCCAACGACACCTCTGGGGCTCCTTCCAAGCAACCCCCTGACGGTCCCAACACCCGACAACTCCGGCAACGCCTACCCCTGCAACATCATCGACTTGGGCTACGACCCCTGCGCCGGCGTAGGCAACTACCACTGCCTAGCATACGAAGCGGAGATCGAATGCAAGCCCAGCGGCTGCGGGGTATACTGCACCAACGACCAGAACCCCATGACGATGATCATCGACCTGTTCTTCCCCGTCGTAACCAGCAGCAGCAGCAGCAGCAGCAACGACGGCATCAACACCGAGTACACGACGAGCACGAGCACGGCCATCAGCATCCGCACCAGCCTAGCCTCGGCGTCGTTTCTGGCGCCGGAGGCCTTGACCCCGGCGCCGGCTTCCGTGTTGGTTGCTGAGCCCACGACTGAGACGCTGCCGACGTCGACCCCGCCTGTCTTCCCGACCCCAGATACTCTTATCCCTAATGCGGCTCTGCCGAATGCGTTTAGGTCCCCCTATCGCCATTCCTGGGTTGCGCCGCCGGTCCTCCCGTTCGAGACCCCGGATGCTCCTGTACAGACTCCTGACGTCGCTGTGCAGATGCCCGATACCTCGGAGTTCTCTCAGGACTCATCGGAGGTCTCGGCGGAGCCTACCGATTCTATGGACATGGAATGGTAGAAGCTACATCTAGCGGGTTATGAAGACGAGGTTATAATTTTCATTCTAAAGGGGTCAAATTTGAAGGGTGGGATTTATTCTTATTCTTAGTGTGCCGTGAGCAACGCTGTTTTATTGGCTGAAATGGTGGGTTGTTCCATTTGGGCAATTTCCTCTTTTCATAACTTGTTATGTGAGTGTGACTTGATTTGTTTTACCATGTTTGGATGTTGAATTACTGGTAAACTGCAACTTAATGAGACAAGTAAGCTGAAATGTCTGGCTTTGCTGGTATTTGACCGTGACTTCTCTGTATGTCACGATACCTGTGCTTCAGGCGTTCTAAGGAACGCATGGGGGCGACTTTTAAACATGACATGGTTATTCCCATATCCATAGAAGAAACAAATTCTCTAGTCTCCTTGTTGTCCGTATAAGTCTGTTGTTAGCGAGCTTTGACCGAAATGTACCACTTAGTATTTATGGAACACGGCAGTGACGATCATCACCAACTCTGCTAAACGACGATGAAGATTATCATCAAAATGACAAAAAAAGTAGAAATTGAATATGAACTGAATGAATACCGATCTTTGAATCGGCATTGTCTTCTCGTGTTGTTATGAATAGCGTCATTATAAATATATCTTGTACATTTACATTTGTATATGTTTGAGCATTCTCAGGGCCGGTTAACAACAGCGGAACAACTTCATGCGTACCTAAAAACGAATGTTTCATGGAGGTAAAAGCTTTTCATATACCTTTGTAGACCCTATCGAATCAGAGTCCAAACGGATCTTCATCCAGTTGAAAGTCCATGACAGCCATAGGCACAAACACTTCCTTACGGCGTGTTGACGGCGTACGTGATCATTTCAATCAGTTTCAAGAACAGTCAAAATATTGTCATAAATAGCACACACCGTCATGAACAAACAAAGACTCGTGTGTATTATGGCCGTCGCCGGCTCGTACAAAAGTGCTACAAGGGATCGCTACCAGAGACAATCTCCCCATTACAGGTCGTGCTTCATTACTCATAGTACAGCTCAATACTCTCCCTTCCAACCTCAACCATCCAAAGATTGCTTTCCACTAAGCGAGTGCTTTATGCTTTGACCAAGTATGTCGTTGGTTGAACACAGCGATCTGGTGTTTTGCAGAAAAAGCTCATCAATTTAACTCTTTCCCGCAAAACCGTTTTGTTGCAGAATAGCAGCTGCCTGTTCCACGGAATAGCCGATGAAGACCGGGCCTGTGAATACCATTTGTGGCGGGCTCGGTCTGTTCTGCGCATCATTCGGGCCAGAAACCGGTTGGATGAATGCCGGACCATCTGTCTGAGGCGTTGGACGAGTCGTTTGTGCGTCCGGCTGCGGGATGGTCGGTTCAGGTTTCGCTGTCGCGGAACCACGCATTTTCATATGGTCAAATGGACATTTTGCCGGTTTGACCTCAGGGGCGGGCTCTCGCACTGGCTCAGGTACAGGTTTAGACGGAGGGCCTGCACCCACCTTCGCTGGACCGAACGGACACTTCGCGGGTTCAGGTACAAGCCCAGGGGTAGGCTTAGGTGGGGGACCATCTCCCATCTTTGTATGGTCGAACGGGCATTTTGTGGGCTTAGGCTCTGGGGCAAACTCCTGGGCTGGTGAGGCGGTTGGTAGGGAGTCTTCTGATTTTACGCTAGGAGCCTTATTGTATCTTGCTGGCACTGTGATCCCCCAAGGACGGCTGGGTGACTCGCCCACACGAACATCTTTCAAGGGCCGATCGAAATGTGGCTTTCGCTCCTCTTCCTCTGGTAGCGGCTGCTCCGGATTAGGTAATAAGTCTGGCGATAGTTCGCCGCCAGCTTGAGCGCTCGTGCTGACAGTCTTGGCCCATTTCGCAACTCTACCCTGGGAAGTAGATTCCAGGATGGCTTCCTCGTCCTCGGCGGGCTCAGTTGGTAGCATCGGTTGGTGCTTTTCACCCAACCCCTTTATCATGCTGACGAGATTGCCGTACTTCGCATCCAGTTCGCGGATGCTATCGGCATTACTCTGGAATCGCTTGACGCAAATCTCATGGCTTCGAGGCAATTCGTGTTTGTGAGTCTCAAAGTATTTAGCAATTTCCTCTGGAGAGTGCTGGTCCATGAAGCGAATTGGACATATAGGACCGTTCGATCCTGCAACTGACGGCTCCGGAGACTGGCCCTCGATGCCGCATATCTCAGCTCGAATAGGGTCGTTGAACGAAGACCGTTTTGATCGCATCGCGTGTGGCAGAATTCTAGAGTGCGAGCTTCTTGGGGTTCCTATGCTTCCTCTTCCACTTAAAGAGCGTCCTCGAGCACTCGGAGTGGCAAAAGGGCAACCAAGCTTGCTGGGCGTACCAGGTGTGGTAAAGTCCCTTTCGAGACCTGCGGCAGAAGCCGCTTGACGAAGGCTTTCCAGCTTCGAGATCCTTTCAGATGCGCGATCACCCGATGTCCCGTTCCAGATCTTGACCCCGTCTGAGTCTTTCCGCGGTCGGTAGTTCTTCAGCTGATCTCGCGCGCGCTCCGCTTGATTGATTATGTATGCGCCCGTCCTTCTATCTCCGTCTCTGCTTTGCGCAAGTGCATCAAGCCAATCTATAGGACCGGCTTGGCCGTGTCTTTCGACTTCTTCCAGGCTTTGGACAAACACTTTGTGGTCCTGGATAGCGATGTCCGGAGTGAAGCGTTTGAGGAGATCGAGGTACTACAGAAGACTAGTCAGTCAAAGATCAGAGTTCTCTCTGCGACGAGCGAGGTAGACGTGGGGTCCAAGGTCAGAGTCAATTTGAAACTCGTCAGCGCTGCCAGGCAGCTACAGGTCTAGAGCTAAAGGTTGTTTCATCCTATTGGGGGAAGGAGCGAGCGTGTATGGGAAGCAAAGAGAGCATGGTCCAGAAGTTCTGGGCCAAACATACCTGTTGCTTGGCCCACGAGAGCTTGTTTTCCAACTCGCGGTGCTGCTCGTAGAGGATCCTGTACTCGGAGGAGAGGGCATCGAAGCCGACGGCAAGCTGCTCGACAAGCTGCCCCGGGGTCGCGTCGCCATTAACAGCCATGTCTCGTCACGCCAGTGGTGGTGGGCTGAGAGTCTTTTTATGGCAGGCTAGATCCGTGATCGGACGGAATCAGGAAGAAGGCTTGGCTGGTAAGCAGACTATGGGGGAGCCGGCGTTCAGCGCAAAGCTGTCACATCTGGAGAGAGGGCAAGCAGCGTAATCTCCACAGCGGGTGGCGATCACGCTCACGGTAGCTCTGGGAGTGCTTGGGACGAGGGGTGGACAGCGACAGCTCCGGTGCGATCCATGAGTTGCGCCGAGGAAGGCGCCGGCCGAACGCAATGCGCCTGCGTCAACCCGCCAAGCCTTCCCCAACACGCTCCCGTCAACCATACTTCCGCACCGAGCCTCAAAGGTCGTACGCAAGCACATGTCGCACCTGTAGACCGGGTCTGTGCAGCTTGCAAACGTCGTCCACAATCATCTCGTTTGTTCTCACTAATCCCTACGTTCGCTTCCCCCCAGCGCATTTCCTCCCGTCTCGTGTCCACACCCGTTCTCTTTCTTCGCTGTCCTTTGCGCCATGTCGGCTTCTCTGCACCTGTCTCAGCTCCGGAAATGGATGCTCATGTCCCCTCCCATACAATGGACCATTCAACACCTCCGCGAGCTTCTCATAGGTGCCTTGCGACAGGGTCCCATTCCCCAGCATGTGGCTTTCGTCATGGACGGGAACCGGCGTTTTGCTCGCACCCATCACATCGAGACTGTTGAGGGACACAATCTGGGCTTTGAGGCCTTGGCAAGAGTACGCGCCTAAACTGCCATGTGCTCGTACCATACTGACGGGCACCAGATCTTGGAAGTCTGCTACAAATCCGGCGTCAAGGTCGTCACCATCTACGCTTTCAGCATTGAGAACTTCAAGCGCTCCAAGTACGAGGTGGACGCGCTGATGGACATGGCCAAGGTCAAGCTGTCGCAGCTCGCTCAGCATGGAGAGCTGCTGGACCGCTACGGCGCAAGCGTCCGGATATTAGGGCAGCGAGATCTTGTCAAGCCCGACGTGATCGAGGCCATGGAAAGGGCGCAGGACCTGACGAAGCACAACAAGCGGTACGACCGACTTCTTAGCTAAGATTTTGTTTGCGCATACTGACCTCCGCAGTGCCATTCTGAACGTCTGCTTTCCTTACACTTCCCGCGACGAAATCACAACTGCCATTCGCTCCACCGTCGTTGACTACAGCAAGCCATGCAAGCCTCCTCTCCGCCGCCCCTTCTCCGAAGGTCACATCACGCGCAACATCCGTGCGCGCAATCTCGCTCCAGTCTCCGAAGAAGACACCGTAGACACGGCCCACAACTTCACTACCGATGCCACAATCTCGGATGTTGCCTCGACCAATTCCATGACGCTCATATCGACCGATGGCAAGGACCCGGAGAAGTTTGGCAGCGATGTGACAGCCAATTACCTTGACCCAGAGACTATCACGGCACAAACCCTGACGGACCACATGTTCACTGCCGGTAACCCGCCGCTGGATTTATTGATTCGTACTTCCGGTGTGGAGCGCCTGAGCGACTTCATGCTGTGGCAGTGTCATGAAAATACCTCCATCGTGTTCCTGGATTGTCTCTGGCCCGAGTTTGATCTGTGGCAATTCTTGCCCGTGTTGGTGGAGTGGCAGTGGCGGAAGCGCAAGATTGAGGAGGAAGAGAGAAGCAGGCTGAGAGTGAAGGTTGCTTAAAATTCTGAGCATGTCGGTGAGCGACGTTGTGTGCATTATTGCGTGGGGAAGAAGTTGCCTTGATACCCAGAGTCAGGACGGGAGTAAACGGGGAAGTAAAATCATTTGCTATGCCCTCCAGGGCTGACACAAGCGAATAGCCAATTGTTTCATACAAATTTCTAGTCACATCTTTTTCTTTCCAAGATTATGTACTTAAATATGCATCTCTTGGTTTTGCAGGATTGTCTTGCATTAGAGTTGAGACAAATGTGGTGAAAGCCTTGTACTTTCGCCATAACTTAGTAGGTCTATAGCTCGTTTTCTATTCAAATTTCCATTTGGTCTTTCAGGTTCGTCTAGGGTATCAAGCATCATTTCTTTTTGTTTTCCGCCATCCACGTCCGCACAGCTTTGGCACTGTCGTGCGCTGCTCTAAACACTTGGCTTTGTTAGATTCATGATCGACATGGAAACAAAGGTACTTACATTGCCTTTCATTTTCATCCAATCCTCTCAGGAAATCTGCCCCCTCCCCCAGTGCGCCTCGAGGATTATGCGCCTGATCCGCAATCACCTTTGAGCGCATTTTAAAGCTCTATAACAGACATTGCGGTCAGCTCAATTTCACTATGCAAACAACAGCAAACAGCGGCAACACTGAACATAAATCAAGGATACGCACATCGGCCAAAATTTCACCCAGCTCTTCTTCTTCGAACAGCTCAAGCATGCGTGCGCCCAGAGCATAGAAGTGGGGTGCTAGAGCGCGCAGATCTATGGTGCGTGGGTCTGCCTTCAAGGCATTCTGGACGCGGGTGCCGAGGGCGACGGGGAGATCAAGAGTTGCCATGGAGCCAGAAGCGGACGGTGCGCTAAGGTTGTCATCAGATCGGGCGAGGCTAGGGAGGTAAAGACAGGGAATGCAGCCTTACCTGACAGCGAGCATCTCACCCAGCCAGAGCGGTAGCTCAATCTTGGTGCCTTGCTTTATCTGCAGTTTGCCTTGTCAGCATGTGAGAAATTCAATTCGTGGTCGGCGGGAGCCTACATCTTGCCCAGCATTGCCGTCGAGGTAGCCCAACCCCGGTACGCTAAGTTCAAATGTGCATGGTACTTTCTAGACCCCTCTCATGTCAGATGCCGCAGATGAGCGGAACGGCGAGTGACGTACTTGCGCGTCGGTGAGGATGGCATCAATGTCGTAGTACGAGCTCATGGTTGAGGTAGGCGACTTGGGTAATTGTTCAGTACGCGTCTGTAGGAGTACGAAAAAGGAAGGCCAACGCGCTTCGGGCACGCGACGCGCGCAGATGACCCGAAGCGACGAAGAGATGAATGAAGGCAGGAAGACGGTAGAAACGAAAAGCAAAAGGAGAAGCAGTGCTACGACAAGGCTGACAGATATCGACAGAGGGGCTTTTGGAGCCTTGCCCAGTGAAGGAGAGGATTGCGTACCGCTTGACTGCCTGGCCACGAGCACACGGCTTAAAACCGGCACGGAAGCCTTTCTGCTGACCCAAACAACTCAATCCCAGCTTTGCACAGCAGTAGTTTGCTTTCCCAAGCTCTTCTTCCGGCCGGCAAACTGCTTTCCAGCGATTGGTGTTGCGAGTCGACACTCGTCAATCAGCATTGCCGCGGCGTTCGCCGCCTCGAGGTGCGCCGAGCTTCTGGCACTCCCGTCATAGCTTCCCCCAGGCCTGAGCCACCCAACCTCTGGCCAGACGCAACGTCAACGTTGTCAGCCGAACTCAACATCTCCCACCGACCCCTTGGCAGCAGGACACGGTTGCTTGCAGACGAGCTCAAGCTCCCCCTTTCCTATTTGTCGATGCGTTTCGGCTGCCCTTAGTCCCTCGCCACGGACAACACACGACCGTCGTACAGCCTCGGAGCTGCTCACCGCGTTGACGCCCATCTATCTTGGATAGCTGACCAAGCTCCCGAACAATCCATCGCCATCCAGTCGCACGCCTCCTTCCTCACCCAAGCCTCGCGCGGCCCCTCTCGACACTTGCCCCTCACCCAGAGCTGCCGCCATGGCGGGCTTTGACCGGATAGGGCAACTCATAAGCGCCGGCGATGGCCTCAACGGCGCAGACATATCACGCGCAACGTCGCCCGGTGCAGACTGGCAGGACAGCAATGGAGAAGCCAACGGCAAGGAGAGGCCGCCCCGCAACCGCCCCCGGACCTTCCCTTACACCAAGTACCTTCCCTACGAGGCCGAGAATGACGCCGACAGGTTAGAGAATCTCGACACTTGCATAAAGCAGCTTTATATTGCGGTATCTGCTGGGGATTTCTCGCCGGGCGCGGTGCACTGGACGAGGGAAATTCGGGGATGGCTGTCGCTGAAGTTCGACCTGCCGCGCGAAACGCGGGTCAAGCTGATCCGGCTCTACTATGAGCTTGCGTTAGCTCCCGGGCTAGACTACCTTGTAGCAGAACGCTTTGCCAGCATGTTCATGGTCCTCACCAAGTAAGTCTCGTTGAATCTAACTTCCTAGTTGCAATTGATATTTACATAGGTTCCATCATAGGCGCAAACACTATCTACGACCCGGTAGAGACCTCGCTTTGGATTGGAGACCGCTTTACAAGGAACTCAAGCTATTCGTGCTCCCGTCTGAATCTGGAGCAACCACTCTTACGAATGTTAAGCGCAATATCCGAACGATCACGAAGCTATGTACTTTCGCGCAGTTGTACTTCGACCCGAAGGAGATTCCCGCAATGCTCGAAGAGATCCTGCCGTTCTTCAGCACCTCGTTCGCCGAAGGTGCCTATGTGGTCGTAGGACTGCTGAATTTGATCTTGCCTACCACACCGGCTCCCGCAGACCGTCCGGATCTACAACCGCAACACTTTCTACCGACTTTCTTCCACTTATGGTCCATTGTGAACCGCTCCAAGCTGTTCGACGTACACCTTATCGACATCTGCTCGAGGCTCGCGCGCGATCAATTGCCCTCGAAAGCCGTTCCTTTCAGTGAATATGGACTCTTTACGAGGGACCAGTCTCAGCTTATCTTCACCGCTATTCTTCGGTTGCTGGAGATTCCGGTTGGGCAGTCCACATCTCCATACAGTTCGACCGTGGATATCAGCGCGGGCCTGGCCATTATGCTAGATAGGGATTTGCGCAAGCACCCCGTCGCACACCATATCGCTAGATGGATAGTGATGTCCCTGTCTCCGGCCTGTCTTGACAAGCCCGATTCCATTCTGGCGAACCTTGAAGGTGTCATACAGGCGATCGAGACATTTTACCATCCGTCGAACTCTGGCGGCTGGACGAGGACTCTGTCGCAACTTGTCTACTATCTTGCAGATTTCTTCGTCATGCGTTGGAACCGCGAGCATAGCGGCGAGATGGAGGTTCCAGAAGAGCGCCGACTCAACGATGCGGTTAAGAAGAGGTTCGTCTTGTGTTTGAGAGACGTCATCTTCATGGGTATTTTTGCCAAGAGCGGGACTGCGATCAATTTCTCCCTGTCTACGCTTCAGTGTCTGGCCTACCTGGAGCCGAACTTGATTTTACCTGGTGCCTTGCAGCGTATCTATCCGGCTATGCAAGGCCTCGTTGAGGTTCATCGCACGATTTCCTCGATCAGAGCCTTGCACATGTTGTCCAAGACGATGGCCAGAACAAAGGGTTACCGTTGCCACATCACTACGCTTCTTAGTCTTGCGCTACCCGGTATTGATGCCAATGATTTGGAGAAGACATTGCACACATTGAGTTACATTCAGTCTGTGTCTTACATCATACCTTTCCATGACCTCACCAAGGAGAAGAAGGACGCCCCTGCAGTTCAGCATAAGGGTGCCGATTATTTGATGGCAGGCAATGGTGATATGGAAGGCCGTCGGTCGGGTGCCGAGACGCCAATGATAGAAGTCGCAGAGAGCAGCCCGGACTTGGCGCTTCAGTGGATATCTGGCCAGGTTGAACGTCTGGAAAGAGAAGGTGCCGGCATCGAATTTGACTACGAAACCGAACTCTCAAACCAGGAAGAAGAGGCTATTCTGAGGTCATCCACCACAGGGTTTGCTGAATTTCTCATAACCTTCCTCGGCCGGGTTTTCACGTTACTGGAGAATCTTCCTGATGCTTCCCGCGTTCGGAGCGGCTCTCCTGAGGAGAATGTGGTCAACACTCTGCCAGCGGCTTTTACTCCGCTTTTGGCTGCTCTTTCGCCAGAGTTGTTTGATGTCGCGCTCGACAAGATTGCGAACTTCGTAACAAACCACGTTATTCACCAGGCTCGGGATGCCATGGCTTTCATCTGCAATGGGCTTGTAAAGATCAACCCTCAAAAGACTTTGAAGCGCCTCTTGCCCGACCTTCTTGCTGGTATTCGTACCGAAATTGGGGAGAATGGTGCTGGCTCTACGAGAACTACGGGATCTGAAGTCCTACCTAAGGACAGAGCCCTTGTGTGGAACATCAGCTTGCTCAGTATGTGCGTCGTTCACGTTGGTGACGCTGTCTTGCAATACAAGAAGGAGCTTTTCGACATTGCGAAGTATATGCAAGATAACTGCCGTGGCATTCCAACTGTGCACGTCTCCAACTTCATTCATCATCTACTTTTGAACCTCACTTGCATCTACACGGTCGACTACGCTATTTTCGAGAAGGCAGACCTGGAAAGGGGTCTCACAACGAATGATTGGGGCAAGATTGGTGACGCAAAGAACATCACGGTCAAGTGGCACGTACCAAGTGCGGAATGCATAACCTTTGCAGTTGATCTGTTCGAAGCACAAGTCAAGAGCGCTATGAATTCTCTTAATGCGCTTACGAGCGACAACCCGCCCGTCAAGAGAGACGGTACGGGTAAGGAGTGGTCTGATGAGATGTCACGGAATCTAGTCCTACTCCGGTTAATCATCTCTGGTGTCTCTTGCCTCTTCGATTCAAAATACCCTTTCCCGAAGGACGCAAAGCCATCTAAGGACAATGATGTTGAAATGAAGGATTCCGACAACCAAGAAGCCGCCGAGGACGATGGAAACCTGGGCGAGGCTGATGATGATGAGGTCAGGCCAACGTTCCAATATGAGGTTGGCTATCCTTTGCCACGCGACAAGTCAAACGACCAATACCGCTTGTTGCACGAGCTTCGTCAGGAAGTTGGCCACACCCTTCATCGTATTCATCAGTTCCTCCTTGAGAGGCAGGAAGACGATGTTCCTTGTTTCAACTCGTTGTACAACGCCTACCGTTCCTGGTTCATCGACGTTGGTATTGAGAGGTCCGCGCATGTTCTTGACCGAGTCACTCGTTTGCTCACAGCCGATGAGCACCCCTTCAAAGTCAGTGGTCTCAGGAAAGAATACCCCCGACCTCTGCTTGTCAGGCGCGCATATGTATACCATTTGCAGCGTTTGCGGCACAATGCTAGCCCCAGGGAACGCACAGAACTCGAGGCCCAACTGCTTCTGGACCTCGCACAGTCTAGTGTCTCTCTGTACACGGAGATTCGACGCACCGCTCAGAGTGCAAATGAGTCAGCCGTCAAGTGCATCATCGGATCCAGACCTCTCGTCATTCCCCCTCTCCTCGAAGCGTTCGAAAAGGCGGTCAAGGAAAATGACTTCCCGCGCATCAAGGGTGCTATGTTCTCGTTATTGTTCGGAAGCCTTGCGAAGACGATTTCGAGAAACTGGAAATTCACTCCAGCGCTCATCAGGGCATTTATCGAGGTCACTGATGCCGACAAGCCATCAGTTCAAAAGTTGGTTTCCAATGCCACATTCCAAATTATGGATATGGGTAAGCCTTTAGAGCGTATGGTAATCCTCGACGAAGAGGTCGTCCAGGCTATTGTGAGCCACGTCAACAAAGACGAAATCGAGGGACTCAATCCGAAGGTATCGGCGAAGAGAGACGTGGTGAAGAAGAAGCGCAACAGGGTTGAGGCCAAGAAAGCGGAGCTGTCTGATGAGTTGGTGGAGTCGGCACGCAACTCACACTGGAAGAAGGCAATCCGGACTGCTACTGTTGTCATCAACCTTGGCATGCGCTTTGACAACATTGCGTCAGAGGGCATGATTGACCTCGCAACAAAGGGTTCGATTGATCCTCATCCCAGCTTGCGCGGTCTTTATGCAGGCGCCCTAGTTGGTTTCTTCCAACTCGTCCAGACTCGTGCTCTAGCAAGCCACAGCTACGAGCAATATCTTCTGCAAGAAGAACGCATCCCGGAAAAGATTGAAGTGCCGACACGTCCCGAGGACCCCTCATGGACAGGTGAATATTTGGCTAGCTTTGCAAAGCCCGAAGCGAGTTATTTTGTGGACTTCGATTACCCGGGCTGGCTGGTGTGGAACAAGACTATGCCAGCATTCGAGGTTGAGTCTAAGGGCCTCGGCTACGATGAGGTTGAGACCAAAGTTCGTACACAGATTGGTAAGATCTTGGACAGGAACTGGTTCTCTACCTACTTTGCCTACATGAAGCAAGAGCCGAGGGATTCGAGTTCAGATCGTTTCCGCATGTCAAGCGCCATCATGTTGACGCATGCATTTGAGTTGGTTTTCGCTGGCTTGACAACTGCGACGTTCGAAGACATCAAAGACCTTGCCCAGTCTGTCTATGGCGATGGAACTGACAAGCACCAACATAGAGCCACCGCCGAGATTATGGGCGCGCTTCTTTGCTGCGCGCCTGATCTGAAGAAAGAGCTTACTACCATGATCTGGGAGTATATCTTCCCACTGGTCAGTGGTATCTTCGAGAATGGTCTTACGCCCGAGAACTCTGGATACTGGGCGTCTTTTGTGCACATTGCTCTTCAAGGAAAGGATCCACGCAGGAGCTGGCCTCTAATTGATCGACTCGCGGCATTCCGTCTTGACATGTCATCGAGCCAGGCCTTCAAAGAGAGCTCCAAGATCAACCTTCTGCAGCAGTGTATTCTCGACTGCGGTTGGCACTTCCAATTGGCAAAGCCCATTCTCGAAGATTTCATGAACCATCTTGACCATCCGTACAAGGCTGTGCGAGAGGCTATTGGTCAGACTATTTCGAGCATCTACCACACCAGATACCACGAGTCGCATCCGAACGTCAAGACGCTTATGGAGAGGCAGAACTCTGCATCCTCCATCGGTGTCAGACCTTACCAGCCTGATGAGAAGTTCTCGGAAACCATTACGACTGTTTTCAACAGGCTCGAGCAATGGCGGAAAGAACGTACGCCTGGTGATCAAAACCCCACCTCGTACACTCAGGCTGGCAAGACCGTGTTGCTGTGGCTCGACTCTACACTCTCTTCGTACGAATGCACGCAGCTTGTGCCATTCTTCCCGAACGTCTTCATGGAGCAGTTACTGCACATGATGGATGTGAAGGAGGACCCGGAGCTGCAATCCCTTGCTTATCACGTCTTCCGTCATCTTCCAAACATCCCCCACCGTGCTGGCGAGGACGAAGAGTTCATCAATGCCATGATCCGCATTGGTCGTAACGCCTCGTCGTGGCACCAGCGCCTACGCATCCTCATCAACATCCAGGTCATCTACTTCAGACGCCTCTTCCTGATGACGCAGAACCAGCAGCAGGCTCTCTTCGATTGTGTCTCCGCCATGCTGGGTGACGCACAGCTCGAGGTCCGCCTTGGCGCACAGACAACCCTCTCCGGCATGATACGCTGCAGTCCCATCGGCTTCCGCAACCGCCAAGTCGACGACCTGCGCGCCCGCTTCACAGACATGCTGCGCAAGAACCCGCTGCCGAAGCGCCGTGCGCCAGGCACTCCGACGCCCGAACAGAACAAGCTCATGCTCGTCCGCCATGCCGCCGTTCTTGGTCTCGGCGCACTCATCCAGGCGTTCCCGTACACGAGCCCCCCGCCTGCGTGGCTTCCGGAGGTGCTGGCCACGCTGGCGCTCAAGGCTGCAGGCGACTCGGGAACGGTTGGCAAGAGCGTCAAGTCCATTCTCGCGGACTTCAAGAAGACCAGGCAGGATACCTGGCATGTGGATGTCAAGGTAAGTCTGGTTGTAATATGTGCTTGATGTTTTGGACTTGTGCACTAACTGGTATGTAGGCTTTCGAACCGGAGCAGCTGGAGGACTTGGAGGGCGTGCTGTGGAAGAGCTACTTTGCTTAGACGAGCGAGCGGCTCTTGTCATTTCGCGCTGAAGCATGCATGAATGTCAGCGAGCCATGGTTTACAACAGCGAGAAGACACGAGACGTGCAGTGGATGGCAAAAACACGGTGCATGGTTCTTTCAAAGGGCATACATATAATAGGTCATGAAGCTCTTTATTTCCCCTCTTTCTCTACCTCTCTCTCTCTCTGTCTCTCCTCTATGCTGTTCATGAAGAAGTAAGGCGGCTTCTCCACATGGTACTAGCCTAGTTTTCCGGGACTCTTTCGGTACGGTTGCGGGATTGCATGGATGGCGGGGGTTTGGTTGTTGGCTGGCTGGCTGGCTGGCTTGCTTGCTTCGAGGACTCACCCATCCCTTTTCTTGCTCTTTCCTTCCTCTTTCTTGGTGCTGCGAGTGTAGATAGAGGATTCAATGTGCATGCAGTTTATAGCACTTTCTGCTTTGTGGGTGCAGGTGCTGCCGATGTGTGATGCCAGTGAGTTGGTGAGGTTTTGCAATGAAGGACCACACTGTATTCCGGCAAAGGCTTACGGTCAACATGGCAGCACAGCAACCTGGCACCAAACACAAGCCAGTCCAGCAGATACCTACCCAAGCAACAAACCCGAACCCGCGTATACAATAAGTCAGACAGTCAGTCCTCTTCCCCCAACAGCAGCCCGCGAGTCGAACCCGCGTACTAAATACTATACACTACACACTACTTACGAGTTACGGCAAGGCTGCTCCTCCGGCCGCCACCACCACCACCACCACAGCCGCCGGCTCCGCATCCTACACGCACGCACGCACGCAGCTGCTACACCGCAGCGCCCACGTGTGCATGTGCGTGTGCGTGTGCGTGCGCGCGCGCTTCTCCACGCAGGTCTGGCGCTTGACGCCCGATGGCTGGCATGCTGCAGCAGCAGATTCAGCCACAGCCTCAGCATAGGGCACAGGGCCTTGGAGCGCAGATTCCTCCGATTGGGCCGTTCGTGCTTGGTGCTTGGTGCTTGGTGCTTGGTGCTGTAAGCAACTAGTGGGCGTGGTTGTTGGTCGGTTTTATGTGCTGGAAAAAGAGGGGGGTTGTGGGAGTGGTGAAGAGAGTGAGAAGGGCGGATAGAGAGAGGAAATGGTCAACTAGGTACCTACCTAAGGAGGCAGGCAGACGGCCTTGCCTTGCCTTGCCTTGCCCTTCAATGCCCCCCGGGTCCGGGAATGGGGGTGGCGGCGCCGTAGGTAGCCAGCCGTACAGCATGCCATGCACACGCAACGCCACGCCACAAGCAGCGCCGCTCGCGCCAGCGACATGCTCCTACCTACGCCAACGCCAACGTATGTATGCACGAAGCCCGCGCGCGCGCCTCACGCCTTATCTCAGCCTCGCGGCACGAACCCGAGAGCCCTACGCACCTATGAAGGCACCTCCCTACCTACCTACCTACCTAGGTCTCGGGGCCGGCCGGCCAAGGAACGAACGGAAATCTTCGCGCACGGTACTTAGTCGTAGTCAGGTTCGGATCAGTCAGGTGTGGGCAGGTCGGGTTCAGGCAGGATTGATGTGCGCCGGGACGCGCGCGCTGCGCGCATGAAGAACGCGGCGTGCGCATGCATGAGCACGAGCTTGAGCATGAGCATGGGCGACGGATGCATGCGCTGCGAGTGCTGTGCTGTAGGTACTGTACATTACAGACGGACGGCGGGTGCTGGTCGGGTGCGTGGTCGGTCGAGAGTCGTGGGTTGTGGTCTGGCTATCTGTCTGTCGGTTTGTCTATCTGCCCTGCAGCAGCAGAAACAGCTGCCGTTTTAACCTTCTATAAGTAATATTTTTCTTACGCGCCCCAGGCGCGCTAGGTATGTATGTACATGTATACTGTACATGTTCCTACCATACCTTAGCTTACATAGCCAGGCAAGCGAGGCACAATCTCGCGCCCCTGGAGCGCGGGCATGCTATTAATACGTATGTACTCCTATTATTGTATGTCGTAAGTGCTTACCTAGGAGGGCCAGGGCCAAAAAGTCGGTTCAACGAGACGAGGTCCGTGGGCAGCAAGCAAGCAAGCAGGGCGTTGCGATCTGGGTTGCTGTGGACTGTGGAGCAAGACAAGACGACCTAGGGAGTGGATGCGATTTGCGCGCTGCGCATCTCATCTCGCGCCATCCATCCATATCCATCGCGCATCGGACTCTCACTCTCAGATCGCCCCAGCACACACGCCCTGGCGCACGCACGCTCGCTCGCCCGCGCCCGCCTGCCTGTTGCGGCTAGGCATGTGGCGCTGCGCCCAACGGCCTGCCCGCAAAACCCGCCTGACTAGCTGCTAGCTGCTGCTGCTAGGTACCTAAACCACACATCGTAGCCGCGAGCTATAGCTATTCACGCCGGGCGTAGGGCTGCAAGCTGAGCTGCAAATCATCATCAGCGGGGGCGGATTGACGGGCCCCTTGGGCACCAACTGCCTGGCTGACTGGCTGACTGACTAGGTGGGTGGGTGTCGGGCTGCTGCTGGCTCGTTTACGTGGTAGGTTAGGTAGGTTAGGGACCTGACTGCTGGTGCCAGTGCTGGTGCTGCGAGGTAATCTCGTCAGGCTGCTTCGATTGCTGGCTTGGACTCGACTCGAGTCGACGCGCACACGCCGAGTCTCCTAGGACATCGGAGCGAGACCTCTACTGCTGGATGGATGGATAGGTGGGTGTGTGGCTACAAGGACGCACGCACGCATAAACGGACAAACAGACGGAAAGCGCCTTGCTTGCTTGCTTCAGCGCCCGCCCTCCTTTGCTCTGCTCTGCCCTGCCACCCCTCCCTCCCCTCCCCGCTCCAGCCATCCGCGGCGGGTGCGTGCGGATTCGGCTCACGGTTCACGGATCACGGATCACGGATCACGCACCCCCCCCAGGGCGTGGCGCACAAGGATCCCGGCCGAGGATCCTGCCACCCTGCGCCCCTCGTATGGAGCACGTCAGGCTCGCTCGCTCGCTCGAGAGATGGAGGGTGCGGGGAGCAGCAGGAGAAGGGGGAGGGGGGTTACGCGTACGTATGTATGTACCTGACCTTGAATCAGCGGGCGAGATTGCTTTGGGTCCTTGGGTATCCGGCTGGTCGGCTGGCCGGTCACTCAGTCAGGCAGTCAGATTGATCTGGGTGATGACTGGATGTCAGCTGCCCTGTCTGCCCTGCCCTGCCTTGCTCTTCCCTGTCTGCCACTTGCCATCCCTGCTGCTTCGCTGCTTCGCCGCTCTGGCCTGGCTCTGCCCTACCACCTACTGACCCCCGGCCCTGGTACCAACCAGCCGTTACGGACACCAGCACCGGCAGCACAACACGACGACGACAACAACAAGAGCACAAGCGCCCTAACCCTCCACCACCACCGCCCTCCTCCCAAAAACCCAACCCAACCCCTGTCCCCTGTCCCCTGTCCCCACCCCTGCTCAAGACCTAGAGTGAGAGAGAGAGAGAGTCAAGGGCTCAAGGGCTCAAGGCTAGTTTCAGGCCTGCCGCCTGAAAACGCTGCCTCGCAGAATGCGCCTCGTGGCGCGCGCAGGGCCTTGTTTCTTTACTGTTTGATTTCGCTTTGCTGGTGCTGTGGTTGTTTTGGCCGCGTGTCTGCTATGCTTGCCTTTCGTTCCGAAGTAGAGGAGTATGAGGAGGAGGAAGATGAGTCCGCTTACCTGGCGTCGTGACTGGTTCTTTCTGTGACTTGGCTTGGCTGCCGCCCTTTCTTCTTTCCTTCCTTCCTTCCGTCCACGCATACACACACACACACACACACACCCATACAAACCCCTACCAGCAATCCCGTGCACTCACGCACATGACGCCCCGCCCCTCCCCTCCCTACCATCCAGCCAGTCAGCCAGCCAGCCAGCCCCTCCTCCTACCGTTTTAGTCCGTCCGCGCATGCGCAAGTGAGACAACCACTTTCGTACCCTTTCCCACACCATCACCAGCAGCAGCAGCGGCGGCGGCGGCGGCTCTATGCTAGCTAGTTAGGTACATGTTAGCCACATGCATACATACACAATCAATCAACCAAGTACCCAGCCAAGTACCCAACCAGCCAGCAAGAAGGCCAGAACCCTCGCCATCGACATCGACACGCACGACACAAGTCCACGCAGCAATAGAGCAGAGTGCGCCAACATCCAACCGACCCGCTTCTGACTGACTGACTGCTGATTCGTTAACCCGCCCACTCCCCGTTCGTAAAACACCCGCATCGCCCTGCGCCCCAAGGGTTGGTTGGTTCCGGGAAACTGGCTCGCCCGCCTGCTGTTGCTGGCCTTAACTGGCAGGGAGCGTATGTATGTCGTTTTGCGCTTTTTGCGTGCTCGTTTGTGTGCGTGGTCTGGACTGATGGATGGATGGATGGATGGATGGGTTTGCTGCTTGGTAACCAGCCGCCCGACCAGCCAGCCAGTCAATCAGTCAGCCAGCCAGTCAATCAGTCAGCCAGCCAGCTAAATGCAGCAACAAGCGCCAACGCACCTAAGTCCCCCTTGCCCAGCACACAAGACAAGCTACAGCAGCAGCACAATACGTCGTTAAATAGCCAAGTAAGTAAACAAACAATCCAACCCAACCCAACTCACGCAACCCAACGCACCCACCCACACCCACAACAGCCACAGCCACAACAGCAACCACAACAGCAACCACAACAGCAGCCAGGCTCCAGCCCAACAATGACGATGCCTCAAGCCTTAATCCTTCCGCCGTCAAGGAAAGCCGTCAAAGAAAGATAACGATCGCCAACCATGACATCGGCGATGATGCCTGCCCGAACGCCTGGGCCGCCGCACGCACCAGCGCGCGCCCCCGCGCTGCCCGCCCTGCTCATCGTGCTGGCTTCTGGAAGCGGGAAGCCCCAGCCTGAGTCAGGCCCGCAAGGCAGGGCAGGGCGTTGTGGGGCTGTTGCTCCGCGGAAGCGGAAACGGACGCGGATGTGGAAGTGCGTGAAGAAGGGGTGTGGGGCGTTTTGGAGGGGTTTGGTGCTTGGTTCTTGGTTCTTGGTTGTTGTTGTGCTTGCTTGGTTTGGTGGTGGGTAGGTAGGAGGTAAGAAGGGAGGCGCTGATGTGATGTGATGATGGCGGGCTTTCTATTTTGTTTTATTTCTCTTTTCTTTTCTTTGCTTTTCTTTTACTTTATGAGGACGGCGTGTTGCGCTTTAATTACTCTCATGCCTGCTAGATTAAGAGGAGGAGAAGAAGGAGTAGAAAAAGAAGCCCGCTGAGGTAAGAAAAAGAAACAGAAGAAGAAAAACGGCCATAGTCAGGGACCAGGCGCCTAGGTACTATACCTACCGTAGCAGAGAAGTGCCTACGTGTACTGTACAGTAGTAACAACTTAGCAGCCTACGCACTCACTCCCGCATGATGCTGTCATTAATGATGCCGCTGCTGCTAGGTAGGTAGGTAATCATGGCAACCCATGATGATGGACGCGACCACCAGCACCACGTCCGCACGCCAGGAAGGAGGCACCAACCAAGCAACTACGCAACCAAGCAAGCAGATCGCCGTCGCAGACTGCAGGCGCACGGCCCCCGCGGGCGGCCGCCTTGGATTGCGTCTGCGTCTGCGGCTGCGGCTGCGGCTGCGGCTGCGGCTGCGGCTGCGTCTGCGTGCGTGCGTGCGTGCGTGCGGGCGGGCGTGTGCACTTGCCTACCTTTACCGTGCGAGAGAGAAATTAAAGAGAGGAAGAGAAAGGGAGGGAGGGAGCAGCCGTGTCCTGCCTGCGCCATAGCATAGCGGGCTCGACGGCGTGGCTTACCTCTTACCTACTCGTATATACCTATGTACCCAAGAACGCACGGGACGGCCCAGCGGGCGCAGTGGCGCCGAGCAGGGGGAGCAGGGAGGCAAGGGCAGTCAAAGTCAAGGTCAGATGTCTCGGCTGCGTACTCTAGGTGGGTGGGTAGGTTGGGTACCTACTCAAGGCACCTAGGTGGTAAGAACTGCGGCGGGCAAGGATGGGCCGGGTTGCTGTGTCAGCAACCTGCTCCACAGTAAGCATGCGGCGGCGGCGGGGGCCGCGGCAAGGGCCGCAGCGGAGTGCTGTTGGGAGGGGAGGGAGAGTGGTGTGGAGAGGAGAGCGCGGGGTAGCTATGGAAGGCGTAGGCGTAGGGTATGATGTGTAGGATGGTGGTTAGTGCGATACAGACGGACGGACAGACTTACATACATGCAGTACGTATGAACGCGCATAGGACAGTACTGGGAAGCAGACAAACAATAAGTATGTATGCATACGTACGGCAGGCAGGTAAAAGCATTCGGCAGCTAGGTAGGTACTTACCCATCAGCCCAGCCCAGCCCAGAAGGAGGAAGAGCAGCAGCAGCGACGACCTCGCACCTCGCACCAGCTCCAACGTACATACAGTACCTACCCACCCAGCTACCCCGGTAGCGCGCACCTTGCTTTAGCGACGCCTTGGCCTGCCTACCCTGCTACCTACCTACGTACGCGGGCGGTGGGCCAGGTAGCCCTGCCTGCTTACCTACCTACAGTACAGACCCCGCAAAAGACTCCAGGTAGGTACTGGAGGGATGCCGCAGCGCCTGCGTGCGTGGGTGCGTGCCTGGCCGCCGCGGGGCGGGTGCCAGCAGCTAGGTAGGTACATAGCAGCAAGCAAGCAAGCAAGCGTGCGTACATGGTTTACATACATACATACATACATACATACGCGCACATGCATATGTAAGTAATAAAAAGTCCGCAGGCAGACAGAAAAGGAAGGAAGAGCAAAGCAGGCAAGCTTCGCAAGCAAAGCGGGCGCGGGCGGGCGGCGCGGGCGGTGCGAAGCGGCCCCTCCCTTCGGCTGCCTGGCCGAGTCTGCCCCGTACCTACACATGCTGCCCTACTGTACGTACATAAGCAAGCCTGCTTCTACCCACCGCCGGGATCTACATACACGCCCGGCTTCCCTGCGCCACGTCCTTGTCCTTTTTTCCCTCCTCCTTCCCCTCCGACCTCCTCCATCACCGCCGCTCTTCCTGGCCCCCCAACTACGACGACTACTACCTGCTTGAACTGTTTGCCTGCTTGTCTGTCTGCTTACTTGCTTGCTTCGTTTTACTGTCTGCCGCCTCTTGCTCGGTCCCTCGACGGCTACATATTTGGGCCGCCTGTCTGTCTGCCATAGCTGCTGTCTTGCTTCTTGCGCGGCGTCCTTCTTCTTGTCCTTACCGCCGTTGCTTCGCCTTTAAACCACGCTCTCTTTCTTTCCTGTTACGTCCTTTTTACTTATTTCTCGGCAACCTCCTCTCTCTCCTCTCCATCCCTCCTCCGACCGCTGAACTCCCACACTATCACTGCGCAGATGTGCGACTACACCCAAGTCCACTACAAGTGCTCGCACCTGCGCTTCACCGTCCGCGCCTGGTGCATCAAGTACCAAGAGACGCACCGACGGTGTCCCGCCAACGTCGTCGCCATGTGAGTGCTTGCTCATCCTCCCCTACCTAGCCCACTCCGCCTCTCTCTTTGTCCCTTTTTTCGGAGATCCCGACTGACTGGCCTGCAGAGAATACCGGCTAGACGAGCTCTGTGGTGAGTCGCCTCCGATCTCATTTGCTCGGGCCAGCTGCTCCGCCACCACTGCCCTGTGCGGCTTTTGCCCCCCGGTGTCCCCGTTGCCTGGCAGTTTTTCCGCTCTGCTATGGCCAGCTGATCTGTCATTTTCCAGGCGACTGCCGCAGCAAAGCGGCGCGTTCAGACAAGGCAGCCTACGCGTAGCCCCTTCTCCCCCGAGACCATGAAGGCCCGGAAAATGGGCCATGGGGCTTCCTCCTAAAGAAAAAGAAAAGAGGAAAGAAAAAAGAAAAACATGAATGTCTGTTTAGGGTAGCCGTGAGTTGGCTGGCGTCCCGGGTTCCACACAACATATGTCCGATCTCTTTCCTTTTTCACTCGGTCTAGCTTCCAATGTTTTTCCTTTCGGGTCACTTCTGGGGTCTTCTACAATATCTCATCCTCCTTTCCGGTGCTGCTCTTCATGTTTCTGGGGCCGGTAGTCAGCACCAAGCAAAAATGGATGCAACCTTCACCTCATCCAACGGGGGTTTTCTTGTCTGGTCACAAACGGGAAAAAGCAAAAACAAACCGGTCCCGAAAGAATGCCGACCGAACTAAAAAGTAAAAACTATCAAATATCCTACCTCTTCGACGGGCTTTTTCACTCACCGTAGTTTTTCCCTGCCGTCGGTTCGTGCGTATGCGTCGCTAATGCAAGACGCATGCAGGCAAAAATCCAGGACAAGAATGCTCCACCTTGCCGACTCGCCGCAGAGTCGCGCAACAGCACACTGGCGATGCCCCCCACAATCGACCATCGCCAAGTGCTACTGCTGAGCTGCACGAAACGCGCGTTCAAGGGATCACTTGGGCGGCGTGCCGCGCATGGTTGTTGAGCAGGCCTAGAGGGTGCGGGTGTAACGGGCATCCCGTGCCGCCGATGTCGGTAGTTCATACGCCGCATCCATCGGTGCCCCTGGGGTGGCAGAGGACTGGATCGCGAGAAAGAGAGGCGTGGGACGAGGTTGCTGAGGGTTGTGCGATCGTGAATTCTGGATGGACGTCCGCAGTATCGTCGTTTCACGTCGTACTGGAGCCAAAAAGCGATCTCGTACGACGCAACCGCGGACCTCGTCATCACCACATACTCCTGCGCCGACGTCGACGATCTGACTGGACAACGACGGCGACCCCACGGTACATACCTCACGTCTCCCAAAGATGCGAGGACGCGGGAGCGGAGGCGATGATGGAGAGGTAGTTTGTGTGGCACGCTACACACGAGCTGGAGATCATGACCCCGGTTGTAAATTCGAGTCAATGACCTTGCCTGTGTCATGTTGACAGCATTTCTCTTATGTCGCCAGTCGGTAGGCTTTCATCATGCCGAAGTTGCGGTCAGACATCGTAGTAGTGGCAGCGGCAGCAACCGCAGCAACAGCCAGTTGCCGGGCAGCAGCATACCCAGTCCGCTTCCCTATAGCCGACCCATTGGGGCGCTGCAGCTAACCAACCATGCCGAAGAATGATGGCTCGCATCCTGATGCACGCCCCAGCTATGGAAGCATGGGGGTAAAATCAAAGAGCAAGGGGTTTGCAACTGGTTTCCTTGTGTCTGCTCCGCTATATCCCCGCAATCAAGGATGCGTCAATCCGAAAAATCGGTGGGTATCCGGCCGGTCACTGGCGTACAGAATAAATGAGGTTGTAGAAAAGAAGTTGGCAAGCATCCCCGTCACATGCTGCATGCTTTCGGAGCTTCGAGTGCGGTGGGGTAGAGCGAGCTCGCTCTCGTTGCCTGGGGCCACGGTCGTCGCCCGGGTACCTGGTTTCTGCTCTGCTGCTACCCTGCTGCACAGCAGCGCACAACAGCACGGCTCAGAAGTGGCGCGATTTGAGGACTGGCATACGCCTACTTGGAACCGCAGGGCAAGTCGAGTAGCCACTGGATAAGAGGGATAAAGCAGTCCTAATTCGTTTCTCACCGCTGAGGGCATGTCGGTCCTATAAGACGACGCCACGCTTCTCCTGCTCATCTGAAATTGGCCGCAGGAACTTGTGACACACGTTTCAAGGCCCCATCTGGTCCCGGGTCACTGTTCTGCTCGTCTCTAGTTGCTGCTTGTTGCGAGACGCGAACCAGAGCCCTTTTAGGATTTCGTGAGCCGAGAACAGGTGCGACGGTCAATGTGCAATGCAAGTGATCGCGGGTCTGGACATACGCGAGAAAGGTGGAATGTGGACCATGCTCCCTGTTGTTGTACCGCAACTAGTTGCGTGATGAGGGTAGAATATGCTCCTTTGCGGCCTGGTTCAGGTTTTGGGCGGAGCCTTCTCCCCAACGGTTGCCTCCGCTTGACGAAACACACCGCTGTGAGGGGTGCATCCAGTCATTAGTTTTCAAATGGAACAAAGGTCTAGAATGGACTATTGTTGGACGTGTAGGATACTCAGGTATCGCAAACCCAAATCCGAAGCCTGTAGGCCCGCTAGAAGCTTCTGAAGATTGGCTCTCGGTCGGAAGCACTATACCAATTTTACTCATCCAGCAATGTGCGTTGGCTGAAGCCGCCAAGCGGATACCACTGCGAAGGAGATCGGGCTCGATCTTTGATTCGCTTGTAAGCTCTGCCGGTGTCACTGCCGACACGAGAGTTGGGTAGGCTTTGTAACACAAAATTGCAGCAAGATCAGGAGGATAGCAAGAGTCTTCACTACACATCGAAAGATCGAAGATGAGAGGACGGGAAAGGAGATAAGGTTTCAAGTTGAAATACCGAGATGATGGGCTGCATGCGTGCTCTGAAGTGGCAGTAAGCCTACTTGAAGTATTATGAAGGCCGAATCAAAAGCAGCAGTTACCTTATGTCACATCGTGGAGACGTGCCAGTTTGAGAAAGCGGACAAGGCTCCGTCAATTGGTGGGATACAGCGAGTCGACGGGAATAGGTAGTTGAATGTTCCTCATTGACATTTCCAATAACGTCGCGGATGCGTTCAGGGACGTAGTTTGGTCGCATGTGCAGTCTGATTGGCGCGAGGGACTGAGCGAAGCAAGTGTGGGCATTGAAGGAAGAGATGTCGTGATGGTCGAGGCCCGCGACGGACGGGACGCGCTAAGCGGATCTCCAAATCGCGGCTTCCCCCTTCAAGGGTCCATAGATTCCTACCGCGTCCAGCAACGATGACCGACCACTCAAGCGACAACGCCTTTTACGTGGTCGTGACCGGAGCCAACAGGTAAGCACGCCCCCGGAGTTGCTCAAAATAATCACTAACGCGCTTACGCAGTGGCATAGGCTTCGCGATTTGTTGCCGCCTCATCGATGAATTCCTCCAAACCCGCCCGCAGTCCCAGACCCTCGTCTTGATCCCTACGACGCGAAGCAAGCGCAAGGGCGATGAGACCGTCAAGCAATTGGAGGCGCACCTCCGCAAAGCCTCTCTCAAGGCCGAGAAGAGTGTGCCCGGAATCAGCATGCTGTTCGCAAGGCGGGTTCGTTTCCAGACGGAAATCCTTGACCTGACATCCATTGTCTCGGTGCAACAATGCAGCACAAGGCTACGAAACAATATTTCGAAGATTGATGCTATGATTTTCAACGCGGGCATGGGTGGTTGGACGGGCGTCAACTGGCCCTGGGCAGTCTACAGCATGTTGACGGACTGGGTGAATGCCAACACCTGGCCAATCGGCGTGAAAAAAGCGACTGTCGGGCTGCTCGCTGAGCCTCAAGGGCATGCCGTCAGCAATGGTAGTGCCAATGGTAGTGCCAATGGCACGGCATCAGTACAGCCTAAATCCGACGAACCACCCCTCGGACAGGTGTTCTGCGCCAACACCTTTGGCCACTATCTTCTTGGCCACTACTGTGCGCCCCTCCTCTCAGCCGCTCGGCCGAACAGTGGGCGTCTGATCTGGATATCCAGCCTTGAGGCTTACGAGTCGGATTTCTCACTCTCCGATTTCCAGGGCCTGGCCAGCTTAGTGCCGTACGAATCTTCGAAACGTCTGACCGATCTTCTGGCGTTGACTTGTGATTTGCCGTCTACCCGGCCTTGGACATCACCGTATTTCCAGAACAAGGAGCAAGAGAAGAAGGAAGCGGAAGAAGAGATCGCAGATGCTCTTCCCCGCATGTATCTTTCGCATCCCGGCATTGTCAGCACCGGCATCTTTCCTCTTCCTTTCCCCTGGTTGATGACCTATCTCTGGATGTTTGCAGCATATGTTGCACGCTGGCTAGGCTCGCCCTGGCATCCCGTCCGGCCATATCCTGCGGCCGTTGCTCCTGTCTGGCTCGCGCTCGCTGAACAGTCCACTCTTGATGACGCAGAACAGAGAGACGGCAAGGGGAAATGGGGCAGTTCGACGGATTGGGCAGGCCATGAAAGGGTTTTGAGGACTGAGGTTGAGGGATGGGGCTTTGGTGGCGTTGTGGGTGATGCGAAGGGCAGGAAGGGTAGGAGAAAGGGTGCCAAAGACCTGAAGGAAGGCGATAGGGAGGAGTTTGAGGAGATGGGAAGGCACTGCTGGAAAGAGATGGAGGATCTAAGGGTGCAGTGGGAGAACAGAGTAGGAAGACAGGCGTGAGGTACATGCGGTGGACTGACAAGGCCAATATACAAGCCCGGATAAGGTAATGCGATGCTAATAGAAACTAGACTTTATTGAATGCTATGTATAATAAATTTGTATGTATAAGTGCTAGAAACAGATCAATTTGACTCATTGAAGCGGTATGCATGAGTGGATTGGTACAGTATCTCAACTTCATCCCAAGAAGAATACACTTGAGCCGGCGTTGCTCGTGGTCTCACGATGGTAGTACTGCATCAAGGTCGTACATCTTTGACAAAATCGGGTACTACGCAAACAGAGGCTGAGTTCAGCTTTTGAGCAAACTTGTTGCCAATCTTTGCAACAGTCATCGACCGCTAGAGCATCCACACCGAAACTTCCACGTTGCTCCGAGCAGTGTCTCACCGCAAGCTAATCATCTGCATCCAACACACAGCGGGATCCTTCGGAAACTAGGGACGAGATATTGGAGGGGTGAAAATAAAGAAAGGGGCAGATTACTTGTGTAGTGCTGACTGTGTGAGCTACGTGGTGGACCCTTCCCGCCTGGCGGTTCCGGGTGCAGGCGGGGGCTGCATACTCCTAGGGACTTACATACGAATCGGCAAGCTGCCTCTTATCGCGTGCCGGGGGTGCAGGGAGAAGAACGTGGAGCGAGAGAGCATGGAGTGGCATTCCGATAGCGGTAGGGCGTGCACAGAATGGTCCCTTCATCGCCAACAATGATGGCAGGGGGCAGAGAGAGGGGAATCCGAGAAGTTTTCGGATGAAGGAGGGGTGTGCGAGGGGAGGACAGGAGGTTCGTATTCCTTCGGCGAAGGGTTGTGGGGTTGAGGGGAAAATTGCGATCACTATGGCGTGTATCACTCCTGGACCTAATCATTCCACATTTTGGTGTGGACAAGTTGGACAAGGAGCAGTCCAGAGCGTAGAAGTCTGCAGGGAAGGAGGGCAGTGCTGCTCCCGGCGACGTTGGGCGTGGATGCAGCTAGCAAGCGGTCCAACGGACGCGCAGCCGCCGCGCCTGGAATCGTGGATCCGCGTGGGACCCGGTAACCTTGTGTGGACGCACCCGGGCTAGAGGGCGATCTAGCAAGTCCAGACACGGTGGGGAAGGACAAGGGAGCCCCGAAGAATTGGTCGCGCCGTGCCGCCAGCGGGCGATCCCACCCCCGTTGCTGACCTTTCTGAATTTGCGGAGACGCCGGATTAGGGGCCGACTGCCAGCTAAGAAAAGCGCGTCGTGTCTCGGGTCCAATATTTTTTTTTTCCCTGTATCCTCTCTGCAAGATTATATTCCAGGCGCCCCGTCCGTCCTGACTGTCCAGAGACAAACATAAGCTGGCCACGTTGAGACGCATCCAACACGCATTCATCTTTGTCTCGTCTCTTTATATTATTTCTTGTCCACCTGTCTGCTGCTGCTGCTGCTGCTGCCCATCCTCACAAAAGGTTTGGCAGAATGGAGCCCACCAAGCCATCCGAGGTGCTCGCGAGCGACTTTCCACCCTGCTTCTAGCTGCGAGTGGCGTCGCTGCATTCCTCGTTTCTCCGGTTGCTATTCGCCGCCCTGCCGCCGCTGCACCTCGTCACTGTACCTACCGCGACCCCACCGATTCTCCTCCACGTTCCCTACTCGAGCACTCAGCATGCAAGTGCTTGAGCCGGCACGTGTCTTTCTCTTCCTTGCCCTCTTCCTTCCTGTTCTGTGATACCCCTGCATACTCGGTATGTCGAACCAAGCCCGCACCCGTGGCCGCAGCTCATGCGCTCTGTACCTGCTTCCTGGCTAACTCACCGAACAGACTTGAACCGAGACAGCGCGTCTTCACCTTGTCCTCCCCACCACCTTCTCTCTCTCTCCCTCTCTCCCAACCTTTGCGCGTTGCATCTTTCAGCATGGACCGAAATCCCGTGCGGTCGTTCAGCGACGCCTATCGCACTCCACGCGCTGTATCCTCCCATTCGTCCGACCAGCCACAAACTCCAAACCACCAACTACAAGGCTATCCCTTTGTCACGACACCTTCCTCAACAATGTCCGAGCCGAAGTCCGAAAAGCTGCGCCAGATGTTGCGCGAACGCCGAGAAGGCATCCCCGACCAGTCTGACGTCACTCAGTCAGCTCCCCAGGTCTCGTCCATAGGATTGGATGACTACATTTTCGAATCGGAGGGGGATGATGACCATCAGCGTCGCCGCCGCACCCGACTGACGCGAGCCATGCGCAGCGCCAGCATCCAACAGCGCGGTAACACACCATCTAAGACACCCAATGACCTTAGAATGGGATCAAAGGATGTTCAAGCAGACATGGACAAACTGCGCAAGGAGAACTGGGACTTCAAACTTCGCCTCTGCCTCATGGAAGAGAAGAGCAGAAAACTGCAGGAAGGACTGGCTCAGGCAGAAGATAGCTTAGCGGCCATCCCCAAGCTCGAAGAGAAAATTGACGCCCTCAATGATGAGAATTCCAAGCTTCGAAATGAGGTTGAGGATCTTCAAACGGCATCCAACCAATACAAGCGCAACCTGAGAGCGGCGAATGAGGTTAACGGCAAGCTGCTTGCCGAAGTGGAACAACGCGAAACCGCTGTCAAGGATGCCAATGAAGCTCTCCGAGAGGCGTTGGATATGATCTTGGACCTAGAGAAAAAGGTCAAGCCTTTGGAAGAAGAGGTGGCAAGATGCAAGTCCAATGTCTATCACGGCGGATCCCAAGACTCCACATACTTTAGCAACGAGCCTGACAATGCATCCATTGCAATGTTATCCGACGATCCCAGTAGACCGCCTACCTCCCACGTCACAGCGCACGCGGCTGATGAGAGACTTCCCATCCAACGTTCCAGGACTCGTTCCTCATCCGAGTTTGCGAGCCCCATTAGTCGTCACGTCAACAGGCTGTCTCGAACCATCTCTGCTGATGCTGATCGTTTGAATGTATTACGCAAGAAAGTTTCGGTTCGGGACGACTCATCCAGTAACATGTTCTTTGACGGTAGTCCGGAGCATCCGCTTCCGCCCAGGCCTCACCAACCCATGCGCATTGTCAGCAACCCAACGGTCAGCAATATGACGGGGCCTCGTCGTGGCAGTTCAGCCTCGTTAGCTTCAGGGTTTGTCAGGACACGGCGTCCCAGCAATCAAATGATGGAGCCTCATCCTGGCAGTTCCGCATCCCTCGCTTCGGGATTCAACAGCATGCGGCGCCCCAGTAACCAGACGGTACGTCGGTTGTCTGACACTCCCCAAGCTAGCCGGACGTCCGTCGCGTCCGATAGCAGTAGGGGGCGAGGCCTTCGTTGTCTGTACCTCAAGGGCGAGGCAATGGAAACCAGCCAGAAACTTCAGACTGTAGTAGCGCCCGCGGTACAGGAAGTCAAGTCTCCCAACACAGAAACGGCGAATTTCCTGCACGCACTCTCCACTTCCTCTGCGGACAACGCTAGGACCTCGTCTCGCGCGACGACGGGCCTTTCTTCCTGGGAAGTGTTCCAGACAAGCGATTACGAAGCCGAGACAGAGAGCGTTGCTGGGCCCGAGAGCGTCGAATCGGAAGAGGAGAACGAAGATTTGACTGCGACCACGACTGTCAAGCGGTCTAGTATGGACACGGAGCTCATAGAGCCATTGACTCCGCGGTTGTTGGAGGCAGAAACGTCCCCTGTCCCCACCGAGTACCGTCCGGGTCATTATCCAAACTGGCCTGGTACGAGCAAGCCGCATTGGGTAAGGGGAAGGGACATGTGCTTTAATGATGACGGTGTGCTGGAGCTTCCGCGGTGATGAAGGGATGGTGTACTTCTTTGGGTCGTGTGATGATGAGGACAAGACCTCGGTTTCTTCGGGGTGATTGCTGGCTACAGGGTGTTTTGTTTCTTCGATACCCTGGGGAAATGGGTATAACGGTTTGCATTGGTTTGCTGGAATTTTGTGTAGGCACGGGGCACGGAGGCTCAAAAGTCATGCTTCTAATTAGGACAAGATAGTTTAATGATTGCTATGCTTCTTATTCTTTTCGATTTACAGAAGAAAAAGTGCCTACCTGAGTATGATTTTTCAGAAAGCCGCGCTGGTTATTGGGTTTCGTCACGGAATAGCGCGATGCTCTTTCACGTGCATGAGGCCGACACGCCGATCGTTCGGCGCCGATCTCAGCCAAAACAGCTACGTAGCTCTCTCCGGAACTAACAAGAGCTACATACAGCATACAGCATACCTTCCGCCCGATTGCACACAGACTCTTGCCAGAAGCCGGGCCCGAAAGAAACGACGGCATACCATTTTCCCTCGCACCCCCTCCTCGTCCGGCGCGCAGGCAATGCCGAGCGCGTAGCAGCCAGCATGCTCACCTCCGGCTTCACCAACACGCCCGTCACGAAGCTGCTCGTCGCGTACACGGTCATAACGGCGTTCGTGGCCAGCGTGGTCGACGTGCAGTACCTGTTGTATGTGAAGATTGTGCCGCATCTCTGGGAGTATGGGCAGTGGTGGCGGATCCTTACCTGGCAGGTACGTACGCTGAGGGGGGGTTGCGGGATGAGAGCATTGCGAGGGGAGGGGCGGAGGAGGAGGCGAGACGAGCGCAGCCAGGCTCGGGCACGAGGGACAATGGATGCTAATGGTGCTGCAAGCAGTTCTGCTTCGCGAATTCGACAGAGGTGTTGTTCGCAGCAATGACGTTCTACCAACTGCGAGTGATAGAGCGGATGTGGGGGTCGCGAAAGTTCGCCGTAAGTCGCCGCATTTCGAACCAGCAACCGCAGTAGCCATTTTATGTATGGTATGAGAGAGCTGGCTGACACGCGCGCGCAAACAGTCCTTCATCGTCTCGACGCTCCCATACACGACGCTGCTGCCGCCGCTCCTCCTCGCCCTCATCGTCCGCCCCCTCACCTTCAACCACGCAAACTACCTCCCCGCAGGCCCGACGCCCCTTCTCTTCGCCCTGCTCGCGCAGTTCCACGCCGCCGTGCCGCACACGTACAAGTACCGGCTCGCGAGCTCTGCGCCGCGCGCCAACACCACCACCAACAACAACAGCAGCAGCAGCAGCAGCGGCAGCGGCGGTGGCTCCGGCAATGCTGGCACAGGCACAACAACCCTCCTCCTAACCTCCAAAACCCTGTCCTACCTCCTCCCAGCCCAGCTCGCCCTCTCCGCCCTCCCAGGCTCCCTTCTCTCCGCTGCCATCGGCTGGGCCGTCGGCTACGCCTGGCGCAACGACATGCTGCCGCTAGGCAGCAGCACGTGGCGGGTGCCGGGGTGGGTGGTCGGCGAGGCCAGTGCCCCCAACACCACCACCACCAGCAGCAGCAGCAGGGGCGGCGCTGCGACGGGAGTGGGAGATGCGGGCGCCGGCGCCGGCAGGCAGGAGTTCGATACCCTGCGGCGGCGGATGGAGCGCGAAGCAGCAGCGGGGACGGGGACGGGCACGTCGTCGGCGGTGGCGGATGCGGGGGCCGGTGGGGGCGCGGGGGCGGGTGGGCGTGGGGGAGTGGATGCAGAGGCAAGGCGGCGAGGCACATTGGGCGGGTTGTTGGCTGGGCAGTTTGGTGGCGTGCGCGGCTGAGCGCTCGTTGCTGAGCTCGTTGCTGATGTGTACATGCGTGTGTGTGTGTGTGTATGAGTGAGACGGATGCGGTCGGCTGCCTGCCTGTCTGGATGGGGTATGTGTAAATATAAGTATGCATGTACGCATGTACGCATACAATGAGAATAATCAATCATAGCCTCAGCATTGCATTACATTGCATTGCAGACAACAAACACAAATGAAGAAACAAATAAACAGGATCAGCTAGCTAGGTAGTTCGTTGTACATTTTAGCTGGCCGTGCCTGTGGCGTGACATGGGAGTGTATGTACCTAGTATAGTACCATACGGGGGTAGAAGGACAGCAGCACGTAGGCGCTGGGATGAGAGGAGTGAATGACGGACTCAAAGAAGAGAAGAGAAAAGAAGAGGAACTAACCAACCAACCAACAACTTAAGTCATGACAATCTAGAGAAGCAGTGATAAGTAATAGGCAACACTCACAGCAAATCAAACACAAGTCAAACACAAACCAAGCCAAGCCAAGCCAAATCCATCAACAGCATACATTATACGCATCTCTACCAACACCCCACCCACCCCACCTTAGCACATAAGTAATCTACTCCCATCTCATCTCTATCTACCCAACCAACCATCCATCATCTCAGACAGACGACCCAGCGCGCCTGCCTATCCTATCCAAGAGAGAGCCATCAGAGGTATCGCGCAACGCAAATGCCAGGCAAGCAAGCAAGCAAAAGCAAATAAAGAAACACGCAACGCAACGCAACGCAGCCAAACCAATGCAGCAGGGAAAAAAACACCACGAAAAGATAAGAAATGGTCGGTCCCAAAAGCGGAAGAAAAAAGCAACTAGGCAACAAAGCCGTCGTATCCGTCATCATCAGCACGAAGATTTCAGAAGAGGAAGAAGAAGAAGAAGAAGAAGAAGAAGAAGAAGAAGAAGAAGAAGACCGAAAGAGGTCGAAGGCGGGAAAGAAGGCTGAGGGAGACGAGCCGTCTAGCTCTCCTCCTCCTCATCCTCCTCGCCCACATCCAACCAGCCGCGGCACATCTCGACCGCCCGAGTCCACTTGCGGAACATCTTCTGGCTCTCCTCCTCCGTGATGTTCGGCTCGAAGATGACGCGGTCCTTCTGGTTGATGTCCTTGAGCTCGTCGAACTCCTTCCAGATGTCCACGGCGAAGCCTGCCGCGATGGCCGCGCCCAGAGACGTTGTTTCACGCATCGAGGGGCGGTTGACCGGGATGCCGATGATGTTGGCTTGCGTCTGGATTATATGTTAGTGTTTTGTTGCTTTAGGTTGATGTTGTTGTTGGTATGGGAAATGCTTACCTGCATGCAAAGATCCGATTTACTCATACCACCGTCAACAGCCAACTCAGCGAGGGCGTGACCGCTATCCTTCTCCATGGCATCGAGGATGGCCTTGGTCTGGAAGCAAGTGGCCTCGAGCGTGGCACGGGCAATGTGGCCACGCTGCGTGTGCTGCGTGATACCGAAGATGGTACCCTTGGCATCATCAATCCAGTACGGCGCGAACAGACCAGAGAAGGCAGTAACGAAGACGGTGCCGCCGTTGTTCTCGACGCTCGACGCCAGCTCGCCGACCTTGTCGCTGTCGCGGATGAAGCCCATGTTGTTCATCAGGAACTTGACACCCGAACCAGCCACGGCAACGGAACCTTCCAGCGCGTACACCGGCTTCCGCTTGCCGCCAAAGTCGTACGCGATCGTCGACAGCAGACCGTGCGTCGAAATGACGGGCTCGGTGCCCACGTTGTACAACATGAAGCAACCGGTACCGTAGGTGTTCTTCGCGTTGCCAGGAGCGAAGCCCTGCTGTCCGACCAAGGCGGCCGACTGGTCACCCAGACAGCCCGCGATCTTGATGCCCTTGAGCGGGCCCTTGTTGATGGCACCGAACGAAGTCGCGCACGACGAGGGCACAATCTTGGGCAGCTTGATCTTGTTCTTGTCAATGCCGAAGAAGTTGAGCAGGCCATCGTCATACTGGACAGTGCGCAAGTTCATGAACATGGTACGCGAGGCATTGGTCGCGTCGGTCACGAAGACATTCTTCTCCGTGCCGCCGTTCAGGTTGTACAGCAGCCAGGTGTCGGGAGTGCCAAACATGAGCCTGCCCTCATCGTAGGCCTTCTTGACCTCGGGCACGTGCCGCAACAGCCAGACGAGCTTCATGGCCGAGGGGTAGGTCGAGAGGGGCAGACCGCAAAGCTCGGGCAGCTCATCGGCGCCATCCTTGTGGCGGAACTCACGCACCAGACTCTTGATACGAGTATCGGGCCAGGCGATGGCATTGTGGAGGGGCTGGCCGGTCTCGGAATCCCACACAAGCGCCGTTTCACGCTGGTTGGTGATGCCGATGGCCTTGATGTCGCTTGTCTTATGGCCCAGGTCGGTGAACTTCTTCGTCGCGGCCTCGATGCAGTCGTAGACCGACTGAACGAGCTCCCACGGGTCGTGCTCGTGCCAACTGTGCAGCGCAAAATACGTCAGCCAAGCGAAAAAATAAAAAACCAGGGTGGCGGCGATGCCGGCAAAACTCGGGAGTGATCTGCTACTTACCCAGACTCGGGGTACTTCTGCGTAAACTCAATCTGATGCGAGGCGACGGGGGTGCCGGTGCCGTCGAAGATCAGGAAACGCGTCGACGTGGTACCCTGGTCAATGGAACCAATGAAGAACTTCTCCATGCGCTTCTCGTAGCTTTCGCTGCGCGGTAGGCGCATGCTGCCGCGACGGGCCTTGATCTCGGAGCCGGCGCTCTCCATGGGCGGGTTCGCCTGGGGGCTGCCGGTAGGCAGGTCGTTTTCGCTGAATTGCGCAGTGGCCATTGTGGCTAGTAGAGGGAGAGGAGGTGGTGTCTAAGGGTATGGAGGGACAGAGGACTCTGGCGCAACAGCAGAGTGAGGGGCGCAGGGCACTTGTATAGCGGCGAGGACAGAATTACTCCGGGCGAGGCGCGGCGATGGGTCTTGGGAGGGTCTTGGAGGGTGTGCGACACGGAAAAATGCGCCGGGAGAATGAGGAAAGAAGTACCTAAGGCGTTGGGGTATATAGAGTGGTAAGATGGAGAAGAGAAGAGAAGACTCTCGACGAGGCTTCGGGGCCCTTTTTGTTCACCTCAGCCCCTTCCCAAGAAGACAGGCGGCGCGCGCATCGCTGGCGCGTGGCAGGCGCTGTCGTCAGCCCAGCGGTCGCGGCTCAGCTATGATGAAGGTTGCTGGTTGGGATTTTTTCGGGGCGCGGGGCAGGCTGAGGGCGGGGCGGGCGCTCTCCAGGCGTCTGATATCACAATGCGGGCGATTGCTCGATCCGCGCGGCAGGTTTGCCGACGATCCTGTCTCCGCGTCCCCATAAAAAACCAAGCATGCGGACGAAATATGGGTCCTTGTCGATGGAAATCTTCTTCATGTCGTAACTAGAAATTTCGCCGAGCTGGGGCCCCCTTCCATCCTTTCCACATCGACGCCGCATCAAAAAAAAGAAACAATGCGCCGCAGCGCCCCCGGATTCCTCCCGAGTCCTGGGCCTTCGCAATCTCGCCCACTCTTCATTGCGCCCGCGCACGTGCTCACGATACCCCCCCCGTCGTGGTGTTGTACTCGCCGAAAGGCCTAGAACCTTCGCAACCCCCACTCTCCCCAACAATTGCTTACACCCTTACTCTACAAGCCCGACTTGATCTCGGGGTCCCCGCCGGGAATGGCCGTCTTCTTGCCCTCGTCGCGTTGCACTATCGCTGCCCGACGCGCCTCCTCTTCCTCCTCCAGCGCCGCCTCGGCGCCCTCATGCAACTCCATTGCACGGTCCACGGCGTTTGGCAGCTTGCCGACGTTCTCCACAATCTGACCCCTGCCGATCAGGCTCACGACGATGCTCGCGCCCACGATGAAGGTGAGCACGAACCGGTACACGCCGTACCACGGAGGGGTCCAGCCGCGCCGCGTCGCCCGCGTGTCCGCATAGTACAGGAAGTTAAATGCGAGGAACTGCGAAATGAGCGCGTATTCCACAGGTAGGAGGATCGTAGGCCACGCGACCGCGGGCGCCGCGACCCCGATGGCATAGCGCTTGTAGCCCTGGTAGCCGCCGTACCCCGCCCATTCCAGACCCCAATGGATCGCACCCAAGAACGAGATGATCTGAATATCGGGCATCAGTACGTCTCTCTCGGTCCCGAGTAAAGGAGAAGGGTGCAACTTACCACTGCGCCGTAACCGACCTGCAGGGGCTCGAGCACGTGCAGGAGATACTCCGCCGTCTCCGGACTCATGAACTGGCCCACCCCGTTGGCCGCGGCGTGGTTGATTTCCCAGGAGCAATAGACCGTCGACAGCGACGTTCCGAGGTACGGAAGGACGCCCGACAGACCCAGCACGTAGGCTTGGCGCGGAACGTTGTTCAACGCGAACGTGTCCTTGATGGTGCCCTAGTTGCGCTGTCAGCGTCTCTTCTAAGAATAGTCGCCTCCCTTTCCCCACGCCAGCACGGCTGCCTCGCTGAACTCACCACATCCTGTCTGATTCCCTTCATCATGTCGGGGCCCGGCTCCGCACCGCCAGCCCCAACCTCGCTAAACACCGGGTGTGTGGTCGACGACGACGACACGAGCTCGGGCTCAGCCTTGAGCGGCTTCTTCTGAAGCTCCTTTTCCTCCTCGACGTTCGGCTTGTCCCATTGCGTCGATGCGCACCGGGTCTGCCGCGCGACGGCCGCGGCGAGGGGGCTCGCGGGGACCTGCGGCCGCCTCGCACCCAAGGTGCAGAGATGCGAGGCGACGGGCGCCTTGCCGGAGGCGGCATTGAAGGGTGTCCGCATGTGCTGGGCGCTGACAGCCGAGAGCGAGCGCATGGCGGCGCGGGCAGCTGGGGTTCGCAGCATCATGGTATTAGGAGGTAAGGCGTAAGTCGTGAATAATCAAACGAAGAGTTAAAGGTGAGTAGTAGGAGTCGTCCAATCAGGCTGGCGACGGTGGGTATTGATTGCAAGTAGAAAGAATTGTTTGGATGTAGGTAGGTGTTCGTGGAGGAGAGAGGACGATGGGAGCAGCTGCGGTGGAAGGCAGCCAGCAACAGGGCGTCACGACGGCAGCTTGACGTAACCTACTGCTCACTCAGTATCTCGGCCGCGTGTTTCAATGGACGCAGCAACACTAGAAGCAAGAAGCGGAGAAGGGCCAGACAGGGCAGGGCGGGGAGGCCATAGCTCCCGGGGCGGCGACGTCATCAGTCTCGGTCGCGGCCTCAGGCAAGCACCATCGTCGCTCGCTCGCGAACACGGCGCGCCAGCCCCAAAGACAGGGATGGCGAAAATCCCACGCGCTGCCCTTTGAAAATCAAGCTTCTGGCCGCACGGCGCCCCCCACATATTTCCCGCCGCCGGTGATGATGCTATTCTTTCGAAATCCCATCCAACATCCGGCTGCCATGCCGGATCGACGCCCGCCCGACGTCACCACGCCTCCGACGCCTCCCGTAGCCGCCTATCCAAAACGTCTCCTCTCAAGCACTTTCGTGGCTGCTATCAAGCTATCGCGATTCTCGGCGCCGATTTTCCCCCATTTACAGTCATAGGCTGTGTCGATGCGCGCGCGCGGCGTCACGCAATTGCCGTTGGTGCTTTATCCAGCTGATTAGGTCTTCTCAAAAAAGATAAAAAAAAAAAAATTAAAAAAAAAAATTAAAAAATAAAAATAAAAATAAAATAAAAAAAAATAAAAATAAAAAAAAATTAAAAAAAAAAATAAAATAAAAATAAACAAACAACTGACAACAGGATATACCGCGCTGGCAGCCGAGCACGGCAACAACGCCATTGCACAATGGCGCAGGGCGGTGCACTGCCCGGCTCCACGTGTAGCTGTCCCCTGCATCGCGTACGTGTATTCTTCGGTGAGAGCAGCCAGGCGGAGGAGAGAGAGGTCCTGCTCCGGCCAACCTGCCTGCCTGCGCCAGAGTACCACTTTTCCGCCTCCACCGCCACACGCGCGACCCAATCGGGGCAGAAGCGAAGCGTGCTTGCGTGCTTGCGCGCTTGCGTGCATAGCAGTGTGGCGATGTCGACGTACGTCGTCGGAACTTGGAAGAGACGTCCATGCGGTGAAGCGAGATAGGACGTTGGGGGGGGGGGGGATAGAAGCGAGGCTCGCTCGACTGGACCCTTCTCTGCCCGGATTCTGGAGACTGGAGATTTGCTCTGGAGACATACATCATACGACGAAGCCCTGTGCCGCCTTTTCCCGTCGCGAACGCTCCAACTCGGTGCAAGCGTGGCTCGTTTCGAAACCGTTTGTCCCCGAATATGCTTATCTCATGCCCCGGTACCACATCTCTCGCTGCGTGCAATGTGATGTGCGGGTCCCTGCATTCGCTGCTCGCAACTCGGAGAATATTTGCCTGTGTGTGTGTGTGTGTGTGCAGTGGCCAGCTGTTGTACACGTAGGCACGGTAGGTAGGTGCCTGCGTTGTTTGTAATACACTTTTTTTTTCTCACTGCCACGGTTGTTGATCGTTGATCTCGCTGCTTTGCATTCTCGTGCTGCTCACACGCCGTTGTTGTAGGGAGACTAAGTAGACTGTCGTTCCCTGAAGTGTTCCCTCACAGGCCTACTACCACCTGCTGCTACTCTGTCATGGTTGAAGTGACTAACTATCACATAGCCTTCCTTGTTCGGAATATTCGTATCTCGCGTCCCCATCAAATAACTACCCCTCCTTCCCTGGCTTGTTCTCCATTACCTCCGCACTCACATAGCACTCACAAACCGGGCAATCACCACGTACAGCACAGCTCAGTCAGACCGCTTGATCCAAAGACAAGCAAGATAGAATAAAAATACAAAAAGCGTGCGTGCAACTCCCATACCCTATTCGCTTTGCCATGTCTTGCTCTGCATTTTGCCGTCGTCGTTTTTTCTGCGCTTTTCGTGCGCGTCTATGAGCGCATGTATATGTACAGATAGCGATCTGAAAGGTCAGAAACCCGTGTATGTGCCATCAAGCGACGACAACTCGGAAAAAGCCAATGGCTAAAAGAAAAAGAAAGAGAGTAAGTAGTATGCCGGACGCGCACTCTCTCAGCGCGAGCAGAAGCAACCAAGCCCAAGCCCCCAACCCATCATTTTCGTTCGACTCCTCCTTCCATCCGCAAAACCCATAACCACAACCCGCGCCCTTACCTTCCCTTGGAGCCCTTGTAGTTCAAGTTCGCTCTTGCCGCCACCGCCACCTTATGCAAGCCGTTGCGACGCTCCCACACGGCGCTCGAGCCCTGCACGACAGCGACGAGCTCCTCGGCGACCTTGTACGCGAAGCTGCCCTTGCCGCTGCCGCGGAACTTGCGCTTCTCGGCCGCGCCCAGAATCCACATGATGGCGGTGCGGCGGCGCTGGCGCAGGCTCAGCGGCGTCGGAATCTGCAGCGCGACACCGCCGCCCGCCGCGCCGCGGATCGACTTGAAGCGCAGCAGCGGCGCCACCGAGTCGATGGCCAGCGTCAGGTAGAGGACCGGGTTGAGCGGGAGGTGCGATGGTGGGGGCGCGCCGGGGAGCAGCGGCCGCCGCGGGTCGATTACGGGCGGCGAGGCCGTGCGCAAATAATTGAGGATTATGGACATGTTCTGTGGGGTGTTAGTTCCGGTGTTGCTGCTGGTGCCGCCGCTACAGTACGACGGCGCTGGATGCGACGGTTTAAGAGAGCCCACTCACCCGCTGCGCCACGCTCAGCTTTCCGTCCTGCATCAGCAGCTTCGTGACCTGGTCCACCACGGGATCATACCGCGACTTGAGACGGTTCTCAGCGGGCATGGGGAAGGCGACGGGCCCGAACTTGAGGCCATCCGACGAGAGCGACAGCGGGTTCGGCTGCTGCAGCATCGTCGGGCGCACCACCTCGGCCTGGGTCGCGTAGCCGCGCGTGCCCGAGGGCACCTTGGCAGTGGCAGGCTTCTTGTTCTTGGTCTTCATGACCTCGGGCAGGTTCTTCTCGGCCTCCTTGTCACCGGCGACGACCTGTTGGAATTGCGCACATTAGCCCGTCTTTCTTCTCTTCTCACTCCCGCCATATCTTTCTGCACCACCATCACAGTCACAAGACAGCATAACGCACCTCCTCCACCGGCGTGCCCTGCGTGACGTCCGGGCCCTCGCCGCCCCGTATCTTGGCCATGGCGCTCGCCTCCTCGCTGACATGCGGCAGCGTCTCCGTGTTCGGGCCCTTGGCCCCCTCCTCCGCCACGGGCAGATCCGTCTGTTTTTTGGCCGCGGCGTCGTCGCCCGCCGAGTAGCATCGCCGCGCCACGAGCGGCAGCCGCCATTGCGGCGTCGCGGGCTTCGGGCGGAATGCCAGCGCCCGCGGCGCCGCGCTGAGCAGGTTCAGGCGTGGTGGCATTGTGTATGTGTATGTGTGTGTGGTTGGGCGTCAGGTCGTGACGCTCGCCGTACGTAGATGGACGGATTTGATGCCGCGGCAATAGGCCGGCCGAGAGTTGTTCCGGCCTGCTGGAGATGCGGGCGCCCGGGCCCGATTGGTGGTGCTGCCCGCCAGGCCGCTCCGACCTTCTTTCCACTCCTACCTGCGGTTTTCCGCTATTCTTTCGCGATGCTCGTTATATAAACTACGCCTTTGAAATACTCGTTAGGTAGTATAATAACTCTTATTATTTTTATTATTATTTTTTATATCTTTATTTTATATATTTATCTTCTATTTCCTTTTCTATCTTTATCTCCCACGCCTAACACAACATAACCCCAACCCCAACAGCAAGTACAGCACAGCAGGACCATCAACAACGACACATAAAATACAAGGAACCTGCCTATCTCATTGAGGCTTTAAATACAGCTACCTAGCTAGGCAGTATAGTATAGTACAGCCACTATCCCTCGCACTAGGACCTAAGCAATGGAAACTCCCTACCCACTTACTCGTGCAACAACTGCCTAGGTATATATATATCATGCATGGGTACATTCCACCAACTTAGCAGCAGCAGCGATCAAGCGACCCCACCCTTCTCCAGATCTCTCTCTCCAACTCCAGCACCAACACCAACATCAACACCCACATCCTCCCTCTCCCTCCCAAGCACCTCCCCCCGCTTTCCCCCAACGCCAACGCCAACGCCAACGCCATCACCATCTCCACTCCCACCACTCCCACC